CATTGGGGTGCAACTCAATGTGAGCGCTCCAACAATAAACATCTTGGAATGAGCTCCAAGTTAGCCTCATTCGATCGATATTGGAGTTGCAAGGATCAGGCTTGTCTAGAGTATACTCAGGTCAAGTTGGATCTAAATTCATGAACAAAGGCTCGTTTTGGGATTTCTATGGAGATGTCGAATGACAAATGTCAGACGGATATTTATTGTTTGATATTTTGTCCAATCATGTCGGTCGAAGCTATTCCAGTCCCACCCGAATCTCGTTGAAGTTCGGATGTGGCGGGTGGTGGGTCGACATCTAAGCAGCGTATCAGGTCGGTGTGTTGATCGGGTTGTTGTGATCCATCCACTTAACAACGAACTTGCACTTTTCGATTGGGAGCACCACGACCAACTGCATACAGGAATGTAGCGAGCTGTGGCTTTCTTTGTCACGGTTTGCCTTGACGCCAATGCGTAATTGCCCGGAAGCGTATCAAGGTGGGAACGGAACGTGCTGTAGATGCATTTCCATACGGAGTGCCTTGCGGAATCGGCAGGATTCCCACGGAGCAGCTGATGTATCCGACAAAGCAAACGTATGATATGGCTCCTTGGCAACATGGTTGTCAGGTCATCACGCACCACATCCAACATGTAGCTGTATTGGAAGTGCCGCCGTCGTTGCCAAGGGCGCGTTGTCCGATTCAAACATGGCGCCCGGACATTCCTTTTCCCAACACCATGTTGCGGCGACCATGTCTAAATATAGTGTGAACTGTTGCCAGATGTCATTTTCACCATTCCATTTTGCAAAAATAGCGGATTTTTGGGCCCAAAACGGGAAAAATCCGCCAAAAAATGACATTTTTCCAGCTGGTGCCAGACAGGCTCCGTGTTTTGACACGCATGACGACGAACACAACGCAACTTTCTCCAGAATTATCGATTCGATGGCGCCACTGGCCGAGCCCGCGGGAGTCTTTGTGCCGCTCCCTACGCCGTATGCGTCTGTGGCAACAGTAAAACAATTCCTCCTCGTCATTCTCCTTGCAGGACAACAACCCATCGAGTAGGAAAGCCGGAAGGGCATCCCACCTGCCCACCGCGCGTCCGTTTACCTGTACCTGTGCTGCGAGAGCGTGATCACCCCGACGTTCGTCGAAGCGTCATACGGAGCTGCGATGGCGCAAGTGTTTCATTCCGGCGTTCCCATCGCCCTGACGCATGTACGTGGGAGGCATGCCGCGACTCGCGTCGTGGCAACTCACACGTTGGTGTTCTCGTCCAGCACACGACCTACTTTGGTGGGTGTGTCGAGCTCGCGCCGTTCGACTTGACCCCGCCGCAAGTCGAGTCGTTCCATCGGCTTTGCATCCTGTTTAAAAATCTCAGCGGGATCAACTATTGTACGCGACCGTTGGCGCCGCCACCACTTGACCAAATCTGGCATAGGTCCCTACCTCGTCCATTTGATTCCGCTCCTTCTCACGCAAGCGTCGGAAGCAGCCACGTTCGTCGCCGTCTCGGTACACGTGGCGACGTTCGGAATGACTGGCATGGCGCTGATACGGACGATCGATTAATGTAGAATCTGCTGAAGGCACACCAGGCGCCAGGACCGCCCTCGACGTACAGGAAACTTCCCGCCAGCGCGATGGCTGACATGACCCTCGTTCGCTTTTTCAAAGTACGTGCCAGGCAGGTATTACCGCGGTCGTGGACGTCGGTTGCCACGTAGGGGATTCTCAAGTGGCGGTACTCGAAAATCGCGACGGCACTGCACAACTGCCAAGCCGACAGCGACGAGATTTTCACCACCTTGTTTCATCAGTTCTTTGTCGGGTTCTTTCCCATGCCTGTACGCGGCGTACCGTCGATGCAGCCGCATGACACGAGCGTAGGTTGTGCATCGCGTCGTGGACAGCTACTTGGCCGATGGACCGAAGGTGTGCTTCTCAACGCGTCGACGTCGAACCCGTCCAATGTGATGTAGATCTTGTGCCGCGTTCTCTTGGCCGTGTTTAAGTTCACCAGGCACGAAATGGTCCACTGCACAGCGACCGGCGAGTACGGCGACGCAATCGTGTCCGTCCAGGTGATCTCACGAAGGAGGGCGTGTGTAGGGCGTGGTGGGCAGTGCTCCATGCGCTTGTCAACGGCCCGTCCTTTGACTTTGACGCGATGTTTGCCGCCGCGTACCGTCGCTGGTACGGCTACCTCTTCAAGAAAGCCAACATCGAAGCCATGCACAAGTTGCTGGAAAAGCAAACGTCCGTGCATGTTGAGACAGCCAACCATGCACACCACAACGATGGTCACTACCACATGCCCCTCCTCATTGCACCGCGATCCCGGTCGGGACGGCTTCTGGACCCTTGCCGCGATACCGTCGTGCCGACGTGGCTTCCGCCGGCCTTGCAAATGAAGCACCTGAGTCTGGTGTACACGGCAGAAGTCGACGGTCGCGGCCTCGAGCGGCTGTACACGCATTGCGAAGCAGCCGAGTCGCCAGAGATGCTCCTGCTTGTCGAAGAGCTCGCAACGTCCAGCATCATTGGCGTGTTTGTGTCGCAGCCGCTGCAAATCCAGCCGACGTTTTTCGGCGACCACCGGTGCTTTCCGTTTGTGTTGGCCCCGACCCCCCATGTCTTCAAACAAGCCACGTCCCCGACGCACCACGACACCACGACGCCCCCCGCTGCTACAGTGCTCAAGTACATGCTGTGCCTGCCAACCATGATGTCGTTTGGCGTGTGTGCGTCGTCAAGTGCGGCGGCGCTCGAACTAGACGAAGACCTCATGCGTGGCAAGAGCGATGAAAGCGATTTGTTCCAGAGCCCCCCGCTCGTCGGGACCACCACCGCCGAGTTCGACGTTGGCGGTGTCGAAGTGTATGCGTTCTCGTTGGACTAAGCACGGCCGTCGACAGGCGATAAGGACTCGGTGTATATGGGAGTCGTGGTTTGCCGATCGATTGTCGTGGAGGTTTCGTTCAGTTGCTTGAATGCTCCATCGCATCCCCGCGGAGCACATTCTGCTGTAGCGTACGGAAGATGCCACACGTTGGTTTGGGCGGCGACTTGCCATAAATATCATCGATCACGCCAAGCTACACGACGAGGGGCCAAACTCGCAGGAGGTGGGACCTTGCTGGCTTGCTTTTTGTGGACGCACCAACGGGCGATACCAGGTCGCGTGGTGAAACTTTGGGGATCTCAGCCGGCCGAAGGGCGTCGTCGACCGCTTTGCGAAGCAGAGGCAATGGTACGTTTGTGGTCTGGAGCGGGTTCGTCGGAAGGGCTTTCATGCGCCGAGGAGATGTCAAGCGCCAGCGGTCTAGAGTACACGACGATGAATTCAGCAAATAGAATTCATGCAGAATGGCACCTTCGACGGTTTGACGACGCGGGGAAGTGTTGGCTACGTCTTTGCTAGGCGACGTGAATGTGATCGTCGGAGTCGGTGGATCTGGCGCGGAATGGCGCTGTTTCGACGTTTGGACGACGACGACAATGCGTTGCACGCCAGACGGGGGCGTAGATATGCCATCGTCAAACGAGAGCTTCCGGCGGTGCGGTCGCTTCTTCTCCCGCATGCGCCTCCTACCCCCGCTAGCATCCCTTGCCTTGGGTTTCGACCAATCCAGAGTAAACCGTTCGAGCTGGTCCATCTCGTCATACCCTGCTTGATGGTCGCCGTCGGGCGCATTGCTCCAACCGGACAGTTCGTCGATGTCGTGGTCGCGGTGACGGTGACTGCGTGGCATCGATGCTCCTGGGGCGGCCGCGGCAACGTCGTGCTAATTTTGGCGCGATTGATCCTGCATATGTTGTAAGTTCAAAAGATGTCGCGCGATCTAATTGGTCAAAATAGTTTCCAAGAGTGCACACTGACTGGCACGACAACAAGATTACACTGCGATTGCAAACTTTTGACCAATCCAAATTTATCCTGAACAAAATACAGATACCCAATGGGTATACTTGTAATTGGAAAATATTGGCCAATCAAATCAATCCAAAGTTGGCCATCCATCGACAATAGGCATCTCACCATGCCCCACAGCGGCTCTCGTCGCCAGTGAGGTAGCCCGCGAACCACAACGCAAACCTCGAGGTCACGACACTGGCGCTGCTTGGTTTAGATCACTCGATTCAAAAGTGGAACTGGAGCCCTGTCGACTGTGGCCGGTGACGATCAGCCTGTGGCGGTTCGCGTGTGGCACCCCGCTGGACTTGACGAGTCCATTCATGCCCCAGAGTGAGGGTCTAGGCCCTTTCACATAATTCACCACCGTCCGCAAACGGCATGCGTGCTGCATGCATCGCGCCGACGCCGCATCGCGTCCGTCGCTCTCCCTCGCCATCCTTTCTCGAGTCTCGTATACAATTCCCACGAAATATCCTATCCCCGATGCTATAAACATGTCGAATATCTTGTTTTTTGTATGTAATAATGAAACCGATAGAAATATTTTTATTGGGAGAGGCGGTTGACTCGGCAATTGATTCTCCGTGTGATTTCGTCAAACAACGCCATGGCCGCCGCCGTTGCCGCGCAAGTCGAATGGCCGACATCCGCCGAGGACTACCAGATCATTGAGAAAGTTGGCCAGGTATGAGATTGCATGCGTATCTTTGGAAGTGCACGACTCCTCTGTGGGAGGAAGATGGACTGACACGAGCGATGGATGACAACGTGCGATTCAACCCCGTGTCCGTCGCAACTGTGTGTAGGGCGCGTTTGCCAAGGTCATGAAAGCGTACTGTCGGCCAAAAGATCAGTACGTCGCGATCAAGATCATGGATCTCGAAAAGATCACGACAAGCTTCGAAGACATCCGGGTAGCGACTCCCATGAAGGTGTCCTGTGGATGCTAACGATTGTCCAGGCGGAAGTGCAGACGATGAAAATGACAAACCACCCCAACGTGCTCAAGTGTTATTGCAGGTGATGCGGTCATCGTCCTTGTTTACTCGGACGTGATGAGTTGCTCGTCGTAGCTTTGTGTACAAGGACCAGTTGTGGCTTGTCATGCAACTCATGAACAAAGGATCGTGCTTGCATGCTATGAACATCCTCAAGAAGAAGGGGTACGGCGAAGGCATGAAGGAGGAGCTGTGCGCGGTGATCCTTCGAGAAACGCTGCAAGGCCTGCAGTACTTCCACGAAAACGGGCAAATCCACCGCGACATCAAGGCCGGGAACATTCTTCTGGACGGCGGCGGCAACGTGTTGATCGCCGACTTTGGCGTGTCGGGTTGGATGATGGAAGGCGGGGACCGTCGCAAGAATCGCCAGGTATCGCCTTTGCCAACTCATCTGTGATGAGTCGGACCAAACTATCACGCGGCTTCTGTCGCAGACATTTGTCGGAACGCCATGCTGGATGGCCCCCGAAGTGATGGAGCAAGTGCGCGGCTACGACTACAAGGCTGACATTTGGTCTTTTGGGATCACGGCGCTCGAGCTAGCAAAGGGATATGCCCCGTACGCCCGCTATCAACCCATGAAGGTACATGGAAGCGGCATATGCAACTTGAGTGCATGATGGGTGTGGCGTGATGGTCTGAATCGCGTCGTCGAGCGCCCCAATGCCACCACGAGCTCGGCATGGAAGCGTGAGATGTTGCCTAGACCATGGATGGGATGCATGCGAGAGCTCGTTCTCTCGGTCGCAATTGCGCTCACTTGTTGATCGGTAGGTGCTCCTTCTGACGCTGCAAGAAGACCCCCCGAGCTTGCGGTCGTACGAAGACGATGGCTCGGGACATCAATTTTCCCGTCATTTCAAGGACATGGTCCGACTCTGTTTGCAAAAGGACCCAGCCAAACGGTACGTCTCGAATGCTTTGAATCTCCCACGCTTGCTTGCACGATGCTGCAGCCGTCGAGTTCCATGCACGTCACGGAGAGTTCGTGCCCCGTAGTCCCACGACGTCGACGCTGCTCAAACACAATTTCTTCAAAAAGGCCGAGAGCGCGGCGTACTTGGCGGCGGAACTCACGACCAAGATTGACGACATTGGCGAAACATCGATGAACACGCAGCCGATGCTGCCTGGGATGGGGCCGCTGTATGCGTCCAAGGAAAGCGATGGCACAAAGGAAGTCAAAGTGTACGTGCCAGGGACGACCTGGGTGTTTGAGGAGCCCAAGGCCGACGAGACGCCGCAAACGGCCGCTGCCGCCGCCGACGAAATGGATGAGTTCGAGCGGCAGTTTGCACTTGCCAGCGGTGGGGAGTCGGTTCGCAAGCCCCTGCAGTAGGCAAATCCATAGCACCCAAACTATCGGGACTTGAACAGGTGAATCCATGTCGTGGTGAGTCTCGTTGGTATGCGTCGCATGGCCGGCGACCCACAACGGGTCTCAGTCCGGCTTCATGCGCTTACTAGTATTGGAAGATTTGTCGCGACAGTCGACCGCCGACGCGTGCCACGTTTATTATGGTGTGACCTGCATCGACGGGCGAAAGGGAGGCGGGGGGCGCACGGGTCTGCGATGCCCCCGCCGTCTCCCTCGCATGTCGCTTTCATATGGGGCTTACTTGACACTGCAGATCCACCGTACTTTGGACAAAAGCAGCAACGCCGCAAGCACCGTTCGTCTACTCGAATTCGGGCGTGCCTTCCTCTCTACGAATGCAGTCGAATTGCCAAGTGACTGTCATCGGCCTCAACGCTGTGTCCAGTCAATTTGGTGGACCAGCGATGCATCTATATATTCATCTATTTTAGAATAAATGTTCATGTTTGTCCATTGCTTTGCTTCATTCTTACCCACGGATAAATGAATCGTTTTCGTGCCTTGCGCTCCATTGTCCAAATTAACAGTGTACATGCCATATCTGATCGAATATATCAGAGGCATCATGTATTAAATCACTTGAGCCATTCAAACCTACACATGTGCAAAGCACCGCCATCTCAACATTCTTCTCCCGACCTCCGCTGCGGTGGGCGACGGCTTCTGCTCGTGGCGCAGGAATACTATGTGTCATCTCGATGTCCTAATTCGACCATCATGTCCTGAAAACATCAGAGGTTGCCAATTGTCGTAACGGTGCCAAAAGTCCTAATAGGGCACACAGTCCTAAATGTATCTGAGCCATGAGTGTCGCTCGTACGACAGACTTGACATGTGAGTGCGGTGGCATCTTGCGAGGATTCTAGCGGAGAAGCTCACGGACCGCCTGGAGCTGCTTCAGGTCTCGTGCCGCCAATGCCCCGTTCGACTGTCTGGCACGATTCATAGATATATATATATTTAAATTCAGAGATGGACCTAGGGGGATTCTATCGAGTGGTGTGGAGGGGAAAGGTTACACGACGTCATCTCGTCGGGGCGCAGTTGGAGGCGCGTGCGGCTTCTGGCCGCATGCGCTTTTGCACCCGTCGACCACGAGCATCGCGCTGGAATTGGAAGCGACATACATGGATCGGGACACGGGCGGGATCGCGACCGTCACCAGTGCCAGCACCAACAGTGCAAACGATGCAACAAACCCGACCAGCGACACGGGCACCTTGACGACGACGTAGTACCCGACGCGACCGAGGAGCGCCGAGCTGTCGGCAAGACGCTTGAGCGGGGCATGAGGCTCGTTGGGTGGACTCAACGAGTTGGCCAAATACAAATCCAAATCCGCCGCGCCGTCCGCGAGATGGAGGATTGGACGGCCAGCCCACATGAACGGGAGCAGCATAACGTGAAGCACCATGAAGAGAAGGCCAAGGGGGAGACTGACGAAGGAATATGTGCATGGGCCAACGACAAAGCGCTCCTTCCACGACAACGCACCCGACGAACGCTCTGTCGGTTTGTTCGTCGGCGTCTGCACTGTGGCGTACGTGCTTGCGACCACCGGCGCGTCGAACTGGCCAGTCGACACGCGGGAGTTGCCATCGACGGCCGGGTCCGATGGAGTGGTCAAGTCTTCGATCGGTTCGCCGGGGGCCGACCACAAAATGTCCTTCTCCAAGTCCAGCTCCACAAGCAGCGCAACGTCGCTGTCGCTGGCGGCCCACGCAGACAACTTGGACGACGGGGCCGACGCGGTAGGCGATGCCTCAAACACATTCGACCCGGCGCGCTCCATGCGCTGGTTTTGGACGACGAGGATCTTGAGCTTTTTCTTCTCGGGCACGCCAATCTGCATGTCGCGCGAGTCGTCCTTGCGCTGCTTCTGGCGCAGCAGCGTGCGCGTCGACTGGATGTCAAACAAGTTGGAGTCCGTGGACGCGACCTTGGTGTACTCGACGCCTCCGTCGCGGCTGCAAAACACTTCGACGTGCACGCAGTACTGCAAGTCGTCGTCGTCGGTGTCGTCATGGAGGCGGCGTTTCTTGGGAAGTTCGCCGTCAAACTTCCACACTTCGGGCAAAAAGTACACGGTCGTGTCGGTAGACGTGGTGTCACTTGTTGTGCCGCGCACCCACGTCGCCGCTTGGAGATCTTGTACTTGAGAGGACGTGAGGACCGATGGGAGTGCGAGTGGCTGCAACTTGCGCTGGCACCGCGCCAACACGACCACGTTCGACGGCAACGTTCCAGAATGAAACAGCTTGGCTTTGACCGGCGCGCGGCACACGCCCTTGCCTGTATGCTCGAGGCCGTTCATCTTGGCCTCAAAGTAGTTGCCGTGCTCGCGGCAGTACGGAAAGCACTGCAAGTTCTTGCGATCGTTTCGAAAGTACTTGCGCAAAAAGTACGTCTCCATCTTCACGGACAGTGCGCTGCTGTCGGTGGCACAGACGAGGGAGTGCTCGTTGGACACCGAAGGGACTTGGGACGAGCTGCCGCCATTGTCCAAGCTGCCTTGGAACGAGCCAAACAGGTTGGACGATGCCGGGGCGTTCAGGATGGCGCTCAGGACCTCGTCGTCCGGCAGAGACGACGACGTGTGCAGCATCATGACTGCCGGGGTCACCGACGTCGGTTCGTTCTTGATGTTCAACTCTTGATCGAAGTACGACGACGGCAGCAAGTCCGCCGGCTCGTCTTTGAGCAAGTCAGCCAGGGTCTGCTCGTCCAGGTTGTCGGATTCATGGGGGCAGTAAGCAGACACTGGCGTTGGGGCAGGGAGGTGAGGGCACGCAGTGGCCCCGCCGCCATTGGTAGATGGTGTCGCGGCAAGATAGAGCGGCGGAATGTCGACCACGGACGTGCTCGCGCCAGTGCACTGGCACTCCTTCATCGTCCACGGCAGCCCAAGGGAGTTGGTGTATTTATCGCACGTCGGGCAAAAGTTGGCGTATTTGAGGTACTTGTCCGAGACGTGGAGCTTCAAGTACTCGTCGTACTTGCGCGCAGCTTCTTCTTCGGACTTGCACGTGTTGACGATGCGCTTGGAGCTGTACTTGGCACCCCACGCGGTCTTGCTCGTGCGAGTCACGCCGCGAAACATGGACGTCTTGCCGTTGGTCATCATGCCGTCGTTGATCGTACGCTTGGACGCGGTCGACGTGTCGGAGGTGGGGCTCCACTTACCCCCATGCTGGTGGTCGTCAGTACTCAAGTTGGACGCATACCCCGATTCTTCAGAGGTGTAGCCTGTGAGGGACGGAGATGGGGAGTCGGGGTATGCTCGTGCGTCAGCGATGGCGCCGGCAAGTTTCAGATCGCTTTCGTTCTTGGTGAATGTGATTCCTGGAACACCGCTCATCAGTCGCCATCCGCACCCAAGACCCGTACCGTCAAAGAAGTTGGGGTCGTAGTCGAACTCGTCCAGCTCTTCAAGGGAGTCAAGCTCCAACTGGCTCGAGTTTGGCATGGCGTATGTGATGTGCGGTGCCTGCTCCATCGTCGCCGCGTCTTCTTGTGTCACTCGGGAGATGGCGCTTCCACCTGTCCAGCAGCGAAAACGAGAGAAGTGGGGCGGACGACATACCATACTTTAATGAAGCCAAAATTGGGAATTCGTCGGCGCAAACGTCGATCCGAATCCCTTGCCATGGAATCTGTTTTGTTCCCACGATTCCTGCACAAATCAACGGCGTTCTTCACTGGCAGCATGCACATGAAACATCGCGCGCGCGAGGTAGCATCCATCCTTCGTTTGTTGTGTTTTGGCCGCAGCGACCTCTCTTGGCAGCCATACTTGCGCGAGGTTGTCCCGCCGTTTCGTCGTCCGTTGTTGTCACCTCTCCGTATGACACAGGTCCTGCCTGGCTTGATTCGTCGGTAAAACGCCAAAATCTGGTATTTTGTGAATACATCGATTTATTGCTAGAATGTACTGGTCCTTTTAAATGCTAGGAACGTTAAATCGATGGTTTCGGCAACGCTTCTGCAAATTATTAGCGCATAAACAACGTGGACAGGATCAGGAGGAGATCCAAGAGTCGTGCCGCGGGGATGCCGCGCGATCGGTTTGCCATCACGAGCGCGGACCAGCATCTTCTTTGTGGGTCTATCTCATTGCACAGGTGAACATCCTCCGTTGCGAGTTGGAGGCACCCATGCTGAGTCCCTCTCCTATTCGTCTTACCGATGACTCAACTTGATGCCAGCACGACGTTGCCGGTCCGTGCGATTCAACGAAGTGCCTGCATGTTCCGGGGGAGCCCTGACCACGTCTGCAGCGAACGAAAGACTTGAAAGGATGCAATATAGGATGTTATGTGTACATTGCGCTCGTTCGACTCGGTGTCGTGCGCTCAATTCAACGCCATGAAGTTTTGCTTGGCGATCGACTGCTCCGGCGGGACCGCGCCCTACGCATTCCCCCCCTGTCACGACACACGAGCATCAAGTACACGATCGCACCGTTCGGTTGTGGCCGTAGACACCTCGCAAGTCGCCAATCAAGCCAGACAAGCCTTTGGTCTCGTAGGGAAAGAACAGCGACTTCTTGTCCACGTTTTGCGCCATGTTGAGGAACATCGCCATATAGCGCTGGGAGATGACATACTACGTCGACCCGCCGCCGCCATGACGACGTGTTCACGTGCAAGATGGCATGCGCACCTCCGTTTGGGAAGCGCCATCGGCCTCGAACGCCGCCGAGATCAACTCGAGCGACTTTCGTTCCGCCCGGGCCAACTCGACCTTGGCCCCCGCCAACCCTTCGGACCTACATGCATCCGTCAGTCGATCCGTACCCTACCGCCCACCATGCACGCCTACGTCTTGCGAGTCGATTCTTGCTCCGCCACACCCATGTTGTACTTCTGGAGCTTGGTACCTTCAGACAATAGGCGCATCGCCGCTTTCTTGCCCTACGTCGATATTCGCACATCCGTTCCTTCCTGCATGCACGACGATTCGTGACAAACCTCGGCCTGGATAAAGTCCGCGCGACGCGAGCGCTCGGCAATCATTTGGCGCTTCATGGCGTCGGCGATCGTCGTGCCTTGCTTCGGAAGCATGTCGAGCACCTCCATGCGCTCCACCTGGACCGACTCAATTTGGTACAGAAGGCGGCACACGACGTACCACCAACCCCCACTGCGCGAACCGCTCGCCAAAACTCTTTTTTATGTAGGCGTTGATGGTGCTCTGGGACGCCAATGCTTCCGTGAACGTCATATTCCCAAACACTTCCTTGAGCTGCGTCTGCGCGACGTTGGCAATCGCCATGTTCAGGTCGTCCACTTCGTACACAGCCTACGGGGCAAACACCCCTCGCCGCGTGAATCCGACAGCGGCATGAGAGGGACTGTACCTTCTTGATGTCGACGATGCGGTAGAACATGACCGAGTGCACGTCCAAGAGGATCGTGTCGCGAGTGTACACTTCTTGCGCGGGGAAGACAAAGATGCTTTCGCGCAAGTCGATGCGGTAGCTCGACGCACTGCAGGATCGTCAACCACACGACACGATGGCTCGACGAAACGACAACGTACTCGCGCGTTTCCAGGTGGCCGTTGAGTCCCGCGACGACCTTCTTCCACATGAAGCTGCGTGGGCTGTCGACGAACGGCACGACAAAGTGGATGCCCGAGTCAAGCACCTTTTGCACCTTGCCGAAGCGTTCAATGACAATGCCTTGGGCAACGTCGTGAACCGACGTCAAGCGCAACCACCCTACCTTCGGCTTGCTGCACGACGTAAATCGAGTTGTACAGCAGGATCAGCGCGATCGCGATGACAATGCCAACGGCAATGAGCCCCGCGGCCACCGAGTCTGCCATCTTGGCGGAAGCAAAATGGCCAACGTTGCCGATTGTTCGCTGGGTTGGGGCTCCTGGGAGCACTGGGGCAGGGAATTCCGGATACTTATGCGGATATGCCACCAGAATGGCGGTGGATCTTGACCGACACTCGGCATTCGCACGCGCCACAGGAGCCGCTGGTGTACGTACACCTGCGGTCAAGGCATGCGGTCAGCAGAGGGCCGCTCGATGGACGTCGATGAAAGCGCGCTCAGCGCTTGTGCATCGTTCATATCGGGTGCTTTGCCTGAAGTGGCTGCTATTGAAGGATCCACATGACGTTTGCGACAATGAGTCCTGGTTCCTCCGCCCAACCGCAAGGCGGATGAATTCGCTGTCGCCTCGATGACGCGCGAATAGTACACTCTGGACAGGTACTGCAGGCTGTGATTATCGTGGACACCATGGCCACTGGTGTCCGCACCTTGTGCGATTCGTGTCATCCTTCCCATGGAACGACGTCTCTTGTTCAGTGTCAGCAAGAATTGCCGTGCCAACGCCACTCAGCAAAGCCACCCTTACATGTACCTACACCACCGCCGCGTTCAATCTTTCGCGATCTCAACAACGCCGCATGGGCATCAGAAACTTTACTAGGCGCGGACGCATTGTCGCATTTCCAGCACCATCCACATGCCACATTGTCGTTGCTGTCCTTCGTGGCATTGGCTCAGCCAACACTCGAACACAGCTCTTTGCAGCTCCGTGGACGCCGCGGTCGAGCGGCCCCGCCCCATGGATCGCCACTTGTGCCCACGCCGTTGGTGGCGATCGACTTGCCGTGTAGGGGCGGATCATCGCTATTTTGAACGTTCTACTTCAACTATCAGAATACGTCTGGTCTTGGTCGGAATAGCGTCTTGGAAGTGGACTGTTTTGACGAAGTCAACAGCCAATCAAAATCGTCCGATTCCGGACGGGTGCCAATCAAGAGCGCCGACGGGAATAAAACGTACGTTAAACCTCCCAGAGACGCCCACCCCGTGCTTGTTTAAACGTGTTACTCAGGCGCGTCAGCACCGTCGCCAGCCCTGTACTCACTGCATGTGGTGGCGCATGGCACAGGCCGAGCACACTCGGCGAGTTGCACAATTGGCATTTGCAGCAACGTCGAACGATGGAGGTGCGTGCGAAGAACGTTGTGATCCACGTCTCAAAGGCGAGCGTGGGGGACGTCGCTCTGAGGCGCTTGCAAGGGCGCACCCACCACGTCGCCAAGTCCAAGCGCAATCGGTGCAATGAATGCTCCGCGCGACTTGTCTTCTTCTGGAACAAGCGCAATTGTCACATGGTACGATGGTCCACCATCTCTTCTGAACAACGCTGATGGGGAAGCGTCTAGTGCGGCGAAGTTGTGTGCACGACATGCCGCCGGGTCGTCGTCGTAGACCGGCCTCGGTCATTCAAACCGCATCCACCGCCTCCGATCGTCCAAGCCAAAGTGTGCCAGCATTGCATCGACGCCCACTTTAGCAAACCCACGTCTCCCCATCCTCACCCGTCCAAGGGTACAAAAGCCACGGAACAACACGCTCCACAGCGCACGGCTACGAAAATCTGGCTACAGAACATCGTTACGAGCAAGCAGCCGCGCCAAGAGTCGCGGCGCAGCGGTCGCCACTCCGTCCACCGCTCGTCGGTCCATCGCCCCATGCGCAATCACGCATTCGACTCGCCGCGTGTCCGGCGAACGTCTCGACACAGCCAACGGCTGTACGTGGCCCCAAGACCAAGCAAATGGAACAACCCTTGGAGCCCGCCGCCGATGCTCGCGGACGAAAGCGAACGACTGCGAACGCTGCGGACTTTCCACATCTTGGACACGCCAGGCGAAGACATTTGCGACATCCTGTGCGACCTCGCGGCCACAACGTACGCGTGTCCTGTGGCTGGCGTCACCTTCATGGACAAGGACCGGCAATGGTTCAAGGCTCGCCACGGGCTCAAGCAAAACGAAATTCCGCGTAAGGTCGCGTTGTGTGCGCATGCGCTGGTGAACCCCACGGCGCCGATGGTGGTGCTGAACGCGGCCGAGGACCCCCGCTTCGCCAAGAACCCCCTCGTGACAGGCCAGGCCCAGTTCAGGTTTTACATGAGCGTACCGATTTCTACGACACTTGGCCACGCGATCGGGACGGTCTTCGTGGCCGACACCAAGCCTCGCCAGCGCGCCGACGTCGACGAACTCGAGAAGCTCGCCCAAGCGGTGTTGCAGTATCTCATGGACCGGCTGAACAAGACCGACGGAAGCGACGATGACGTGGTCGCAGCCCACCTGCGCGACAACAACCAAAGCGGCTTGTGTGGAGTCGACGTATAGCTCTTCTCTGTTATGTACTTGTGTTGTCAGCGCTGCAGGTCCATCCATCGAGAGAGACTAGCGATGGGGTTGTAACTCGATAGCCCGTTCCACGACGGCCCATGGCGACAACTTAACTCCACTCGGCACACACACTTTCGATGAGGCGTCGAAGATGACGATTGTCAGGCAAGCATGCAGCGATTTTGAACGGATGCAGAGTTTACCGCCGTGGACCATCCATCGGCAGTGAGAGCACGGTCACACATCCACACTTGCTTCGTTTCAGGCATATGCATCCGTCACTTGCCCTACCTTCGAGCACAAGACAAATGACATGGAAGGTGCTACGGCGACGTGTCGATCCGCGAGTCGGTCGCCGTGGTCTGCTGCGCTTTCAGGTCTTGCACGCGCTGCTTGAGCGCGTCCGTCGCTTCTTGCAAAGCCTTGTCGACGAGCTAACCGAAAGAAACCCGTCAGCAGCCCAAACCTCGAACTGCTTCCGTCGTACCCGTGGCGTGGTGCGGACGACGTTGCCGTCTTCGGTGTCCGAGGCATGTCCCGACGGTCCGGATTTCGTCTTGCCCCGCAAGAGCCGCCCTGCCAACACACATCGACACGGATCAGCTCGACAATGGACGGCGAAGCACACGACATCTTACCTTGCGCCTTTATGAGTCGGCGAGTACGCGCCGTATCGAATTCGAGAAGCAAGTGCTTCTCTTCACGGGAAAGAAACATGAACGCGAGTACGTCGTCCTCCGAGAATTCGTCTCCCGTGGCCACCGAGTCTGTGGGGTCGTTGCTCGCCGGAACTGGCAAGCCCACTGACGATTCGACATGGTCATGCGGTTGCAGTGGATCTGTCATGGCTTCCGTCGAGAGCGGGGCTGCACTCGATGGCTGCGACGACGGCGGAAGGAGTGCGTCGATTTTCTTGGCAGCCACCTTGATCGCTGTGTGCAGCATGCTCTCGGAGTACCCCGGCTGCCGCTGCATCCATTCCTTGAGTGCATGTGCCGTCGCTTGCAGCGCGTTGTGGGCGTCTTCCCGCTGTAGTGTTTGAATCGAGACCCCGCCAAAGAGCACATCGTCGGCAAATCCGTGTGCCGCCAGTTTCTTGGACGTAGGCGGCAATTCAATCCGCGGAATCGCCTGGCGAAGGTGGCCGTCCATGGCATTCTACGTCCAAATTCGATGAGTTTTCTCTCTCACGTTGTAATCATACGCACGGGTTCAAATTCCACGCCATGCAGCAGGTACGATGGGACGTTGCGCTCGTTGAGTGCAAAACAATGGGGACCATGGAGGCTCGAGCACGTGGTCACTGCTCTCTTTGGCATGGCGGCGACCACGGATGCAACAGCTTGACCGTGGACGCATCCAATGAAGGCGGCTACAGCCGTCCATGCATTCGTCGGTGGCAGCACCATCGTGTCCACTGGTCGTGATGTTCGAAAAGACGACGCATCAGCGACGTTGCAGTTACAGCGGGCACCAATCGAACGCGCATTGTGTGCTCGGGCGGAAACCACCGCGGCGACGCACTACAGTCACGAACGTGGCATCGACCGTGGCCATTCCGACGGCCTCATGCCCCCAAGACCATGTGCTTGCGGTCGTCGTGCGAATCTTTGCCATCATGAGAGCGGCCAGCCACATGGCAACGGAATCGTTTCCTGCAGGACATACATTCTCACACACCAATTCGTCTGGTCAAAATATCCGTCAGCTTTGACATGGGGACTTTGCCAAGGTACGACGTCCTGTGATATGGCGCGTGCTGGGCAGGGTAGGGCATGGCGCGGGAGGCGTATGAACTGAGACAAAAAGCGGGCGATTCGAAACGGGACGTATGCATAGTGGTTGACGTGAAGACACAACGCCTTTCCTTGTCAAAGCGTCGCTCGAAGATATGAATATAGATTAGAATATATCGTACCCGGGCAAACTACAGAAACCCATGTGGCACCATAAAAAGGTTTAGAAAAAATATCTTGAATAATGTATAGATTTTGTTGCACATGCTCAAAAATTCATGTGTTGACATTACATGTATCGTGACGGTCAGGATCACCTGGTTCACGCGCGTGCCTTGGACACATGTTTGTTGTCGGCCATGTTGGACAAGCGACGACATGTTTCGTCGGTGTGAGCTGCCGGTGTTTGGCATGTTCAGCGGTGCCTTTGCTATTTTCCAGACGCAAGCGACACCAGTCGGCGCTGGCAAGGACACAGCGGCTTGCGGGATGTTCACGTCGGCTTTCTTCCCTTGAAAGTAACATACCTCACGCGTTTATGTGCGGGGGTGCACATGTCACACAAGCTGGAGTTGTACGCCTGACATTTCAACGTGCTTTTGTGTGCTTTTCTGGGTGACGCCGTGTCTTTATGAGATAAAACCCGAGCACGTCCACAACGTCAAAGGATAGCCCGGGTATTTCTGCCTCCGGTGGACTATTCGATTGATTGATTCCAACCAAGGATAACGCATTGAGGCCATGTCGGATATTGTACCTCCAGGCCGGTGAATCCGGTCGCATCGACCATCGGGGGTATCCCGGTGGGTGACTGCGTCCGGGTTCAATATCTCTACCGGATGCGTTTATCGTTAAACGCATCCATCGTGCTAGGAGCGGAAGTGGAAAGGTCTGGGTCGGAAAGCACGTGGTGATGCGCCGCTTGCTTTGTTGACCAGATCCAGCGCCGATTTCTGCACCAGTCCACGGCCTGCTCGCCCCGTCCGTTCCGCAGGATCCTTGAAGGGGCCGGGCCAGTTGGGTGGGGGCGGCGCCACGGTGGCTCGTGTCCCGCTCATCTGGAGCATTTTTTCATTGCGTGCGAGCTCCCCCCCCGCGTGGGACGCGATGGGAACAAGGCATGCAACGGAGACGAGAAAGAAGGATGACGACGGCGAAGGGCCGCCGTGCCACCTCTGGGGACTGCGAGGCCCCAGCGAGTGTGCCTTGAAATCCGTCCCGTGTGTGCTGGCCGTGTAGGCGAAAGTGCAAGGCGAAATTGTTGAACATCAACAGAGTTTGCACATGGAGCGCCACATGGCGGCGGCGGAGGAGGCATCGACCGCAAGCTTCCACATCCACCAGACGACAGCCGCTGAGGTGGTACCTACATTTTCTTTGTCGACACACCAGCGCCACGGACGGTCACTTTTCAATTTGCACCGTTGCGCTGCTATGGAATCTCCACGTAAGGACGTCGGGGACTACAAGGAAGCAACCACTCCGTATGACCCCCTCGCGACGAAGGAAGGCGATATGGTCGGCGGCGAAGACGACTCGGCCATCAAGGCCAGCGACTTTCTCGCCATCACAGACGGGTTGGCGTACCCCCAAGTGACGGTCAAGTCGTTGGTTGTAGGGACAGTCATCGGTGCCTTCCTCAGCGTGCTCGGCATGTACTACGGACTCAAGATCGGTGTCGTGCCGTCGCTAAACGTGCTGGCCGGCGTCGGTGGCTTCATGTTGACCAACTGGTTCCTCAAGATGAAGATGTTTCGTGGGTATTTCTCCGTGCAAGAGAACGTTGTGATCCAAACGTGCGCCGTGGCGTGCTACTCGCTGGCGAGCCAGGGCGGGTTCACGTCTGGCATGCTCGCGCTCACGCAGCAAGTGTACGAGGACGTCGGCAACAAAACGGGCAACCTCGCGACGGACGTTGTCGACGTGACGTGGTTGCGCGCGTTCGGGTGGTGCAGCTCGATCGCGCTGTTTGGGTTTTTCATTTCGTTCCCGCTGCGCCGAAAAATGATCATCGAGAGCCGCCTGTTGTTCCCGAGCGGGACCGCGACGGCCGTCATGATTCAGACGCTGCACTCGTCCAAGGAAGCCGTCGAGTACCAATGGAACGTCCTGTTCAAGAGCGGGGTCGTCTCGTACTGCTGGTCCATCTTTGTCTACTGCTTTGAAGGCCTCGGCAGCTTTCCGATTTTTGGACTCAAGCCAATGAAGTACGGATGGTTGTGCGACTGGGCCCCGGGCACGTTTGCCATTTCCGTCATGCTGCCGTTCCGCGTCATGTCGTCTATCTTCTTCGGCACGATCATCTCATGGGCCATCATGACCCCGTACCTCGATGCGTACCACGGCAAGAGCCAAGGCGCCGATGCCTGGTTCGTTTCGACCAAGGTCGACGGTTTGAAGGCGTACTACACGTTCACGGCCGTGTCCGTGATCTGCGTCGATGCGCTCTACAGCATCGTCAAGGTCGTCATCGTGTTGTACAAATCGTGGCGCGACTCGCGCAACGCGGCGCCGATCGACAACGACGATGTCAAGTCGGTGGACGTGCAGCGCCAAGCGTACTTGGACAAGTTGTTTGACGCGACCCACGTGCCGACGCTCGTGTGGGTGTCGGGCCTTGTCGTGTTCGCCGCCGTCTCTGTGGTACTCATCTCTCTCATCTTTCCGTCCGTGCACTGGTGGAAGGTCCTCGTGTGCTGCTTGCTCATCCCGGTTTTTGCGATCGGGATCATCCAAGGCGTGGGCATGACGGACTGGAACATCTCGAGCGCCGTCGGCAAGCTCATCATCTTTATCATCGGTGGATGGTCCCAGGATGGCTCGATCATTGCCGGCCTCCTCATGTGTCAAATGGTGATTGTCGGATGCAGCCAAGCAGCGGATCTCATGCAGGATTTCAAGACCGGGTACCTCGTCGGCGCGTCGGCCAAGTCGATGATTGTATCGCAGATCTTTGGCGCCGTCATGTCGTGTGTCATTGTGCCGTCCGTGTGGATTATGATGACGTCGGCGTACACGATCCCCGGCGACGTGATCAAGGCCCCGTACGGCGAAGTGTACCGCATTCTCGGGATCACAGCAATCCAAGGCCTCGATGGGTTGCCCAAGTATTGCGGCATCTTCATGCTGATCGGTGCAATCTACACCGTCGTGTTCAACATGTTCATCGACATGTGCTCCGAGTCCAAGATCAAGGCCGTCCGCCACATTGCCAACAACTGTCCGATCCCCATGGCTGTCGCAATTGGCATGATCATCCCGGCCTCCTTCGGTCTCCAAGGCATCGTCGTCGCGCTCATCTGCGCGTACTGGAAACACGTGAACCCGGAACAGTTCCACAAAACACAGTACATTCTGGCCGCCGGGTTGATGGTGGGCGACGGGTTCTCGATCCTTACCCAGATCATCGTCACTGTGTCGGGCGGCGCCGCCCCCATGCACCTCGACTTCGGCATGGGCCCGGCCCAATAAGATATCACTTATGGTTCGTAATATATACTTCTCGTGCATCTTTCGCCAAGCGCCGCTGCATCGGAGGCGTCGCACGGCAACCGCGTCAACTTCCAAGGAATGGAGAGAGAACGACCATCTGCGACGCTAGCATTCACGCTCGCTCGTACCAGATGCAATCCATTCGACGGATGGATCAGAAATCAGCACATGACCACCACACTGGCAGACTGCCATCTCCACGTCCATCGCCCGGTCGGCCTCGGTGTGGCCGCTTGAAATTTGCGCGCTCTGCAGCCGAATTTGAAATGTCCAAATTTGGGATACATTTTCGGTTTTAGTCGTGATTTCAATCGAATATTTCAGGTCAAATGTGTCGTCAAACAAATATGCGAGGAATTGATTTGATTGGCTAGCATCTTCATGAATTTGCGAAAGAAATCATACGATTCAACACTTGAGCCAATCACAACGCTGCAATTAGACTTGAAGTTTGTATTTTTGATATTTAACCTTTGACCTCTTTTCATCCACAATTGGTTACTTCCTCTGTTCCATATTATGCCGACATTTGCAAATCACACCTTTTCCATATTACTTGTGACATTTCAATCCGATTGGTCAACAAACGAGAAAACTACGTGTTATTGATTAAAATCCTGAATGGCCACTTAGCCAAGAAGCGAAGCAGGGCACGAGACATTGGACATGGGCGCCCTGGCACTACGCAAGGCATCCTTCCGCAAATGCGGCAAGCGATAGTGGTTGCCACCATTGTTCTCCAGAACTAGGCGCATGACTGCTTGCAACGTGAGGAACACGTTTGCAAGTGCATCGCCACCACAAAGTTCAAACGCAGCTTAGGTTGCATGAATGACCTCACCCAAAGATCGACTGACCAACTTGTACTGAAGCGTTTGGATCGAGGCAAAGAAACCCAGATCAAAGCATTGAGATCTGGGCTGTTTGGTGGAAGCTTGCAAATGATCGATTAGTTCATTGAGGTGACGGATCACCTCCATCTTCTTTGGTGCGAGAGCTCTCTGCCGATATGTTGCCGTGCCATGGATGTCGACTTGTTCAGGTCCTGGAAATTTTAATTCTGTTAATTCACATTTCGTAATCTTATTCGGAGTCTCGATGGCGAAGTCAAAATTGGGCGCCAAAACTTGCTTTTCGCGCCTTGCAGTCAATAGGCCTTTCCTCTAGATTTTGATTCTCTATTGAACATGATATGATTCGTCGAAATTGGACAAGAATTCAATTTTTGGGGGCACCTCGAAGCCAAATGTCGGCAGTAATATGGAACAGAGGAAGTACTTCTATTCTTGAGGACAAAACAATTTTGGAAATTAATTACAGATACTGTGCTAAGAATAAAAAAACCCAGTATTACAAGATTGAATTGTCTTGCTTCCGAACTGCTACCGAAGGCGATTACTTTGCGCCACCCGCGCCGATTGCTTGCAGTAAGCACAAGAGGAAGGCGTGGAGGGCCCAAGCACTCAATGGATGTCGGCCGCAAAGCAGTACCGCCAGCCACCGGGCCAGTATCGGCCACCCGTCCTGCATGAGGGACTTTACCAGTCAAACACGGACGCGAGCACGAGGTACACGTTGAGCCCGACGATGAAGGTACAGAGGGCGGCCGTAATAAGTTGCACGAACCACGAGCTTTTCCACTTGCCCATGATATCTTCTCGACCGGCAAACAGAGCGAGTGGGACAAGCGCGAACGGGATGCAGAAACTCAACACAACCTGGCTGAACACGAGCGCTTGGGTCGGGTCCGCACCGGAAACGATGATGAGCATCGACGGCACGAGCGTCACGGCGCGGCGAATCCATACGTTTACGTGGAAGTTGAGGAACCCGGCCATGATGACTTGGCCGGCGAGAGTACCGACAGCGGACGACGAGATGCCGCTGGCCAGCAACCCGATCGCGAACACATACGACGCCGCCTTTCCAAGCAGCGGCTCCAACGTCCTGTACGCGTTCTCAATCGAGTCCACGTCGGTGTACCCTGACGTGTTGAACGTCGCGGCCGCCATGATCAGCATCGACATGTTGACGAGGCCGGCGATGCCAAGGGCTATCACGATCCCGACAACTTCGTAGCGGAGGGGAGGGAACATGACATCGCCGTCATCCGACACGACAAAGCGACTCTGAGTCAGCGCCGAGTGCAAGTAGATCACGTGGGGCATCACCGTTGCGCCGACAATGCCCACGGCCAAAACTAAACTTTCCTTGCCTTCGAAACCGGGCACAAACGTGTGATACGCGACGTCGGCCCATGGAATGCTTGGCTGTAACGCTGTTTCCATGATGTAGCTCACGACGATCACCGACACCAGCATGAAAATGACAACTTCGAACGCTTGAATACGGTGCTGATGGACGTACAGAAGCACGAGAGTCATGCCGGCCGTGATGACGGCGCCCCACGCCAACGAAATCGAAAAAAGCAACTTGAACGCAATCGCCGCCCCGATGAACTCGGCCACGTCCGTCGCGATCGCAGCCACTTCCGCGGCAATCCACATTACCCAAACGACCCATTGTGGAAACTGGTCTGCGATTACCTCGGGCAAATTCTTCCCTGTCGCGATCCCGAGCTTGGCCGACAAAGTCTGAAACAGCATCGCCATCACGTTCGCCAACAAGATGACCCAGAGCAAGGTAAAGCTGTAGTTCGACCCCGCCTGGATGTTCGTCGCAAAGTTCCCTGGGTCCAGGTACGCCACGGACGCGACGAATGCAGACCCGAGTGCAGGAAGGATCTTCTGCATCAAAGTCGGTGGGGATGCCGGGATGTCAATGGCGTGAGAGGAGTCGACTTTCGTGTACGGGACATCTTGGCTGTCCGGGATCGACCCGGGAGGCGTGAGAGGTGATGTCTCTGTTTGCGCGGTGGCTGCTGTGGGCACCATCTAGTGTGTCAGCACGGCGGCAACTCCTTTGGCGCTTCAGCGGTCCTCGAGCAGATCGGATGTGCCGATTAAAATCCAACGTCAAGCATTAACTGGGGAAAACCTCCAAAATTAAATGCAACTTTGCCAACATTCAACATAAACATGACGTGCATTCAAAACCCCATCGCAGTGTGCTCTGCACGTCCTAGCGCTGCCCATGGCCACATCTAGGTCTAGACTTGCTTATTGCACCTACTGTGCTCAGCCGCTCCGTGACGTCGTACCGCACTGGAGAATTGATGTTGGTCATTTCCAACCTCCGTACCTGTCAAAAATTATACAAACATCTGACTCACTGCACCTAACGTGTACTACTAGTACACTGGAAAAAATGTGCTTGCGGAAGCGCGTGTAGACGACGCACCGCCATCGACATCTCTCGCAAGCCCTGAAAAGCTACAGCTAAGCTCTGCCGCACGCCAGACGACGCCCCCAATTCTATAATGAGATCATCATGATTGGGCCAGTCTGCTTAGCTGGCGCCCGCTTATTGGCCCACCCTTACCACCCACCGTATGGAAAATGCATTCGAGGCAATTGTCATGTACCGTAGTTACCTGACGGCAAACGAAACCTTCATCGTCAGCATGCATCCAGCTGGGAGAATCTCTGATACGGCGACGGCCACGAGCAAAAGCTCGACCGACTCCTTCGCAGAGCGCAGAGGCGACGAAAAAATCGAAGCCTTCGAAATCCGGATATTGTAACCGGTGTGGCAGTTACATTTTTAGTGTGAGTAGACACGATGCCGCCGTCGGCCGGCCTCCACGGGCTCACGCACTTGCTGGCGGGAGAAACCGAGTGGCGAAATATCCAAACGATCATAAAGACGACACTCCAAGCCGTGGCCAAGGTTGTGTCCAACCATGCTGTGATGTTGGAGACCATGGACGCCCGCATCGACCGTATCCAGGACGCAGCCATGTCGGCCCAGACGCTGCCGCCACCACGCGTCAACAACAACGATGACGGCACGGCGATGATTGTATCGCGGAAGGAATTCCTTGCTTTGGTCGCAGACGTCTGCAAGATGCAAAAGCGGGCCGTGTCGTCGGATGATGTCGAAGTGCGAGTTGTTGCCAGTGGCAACGAGCTCAAGCGACGACTCGAGCACACCATCACCCCTCTACAAGACGCACTGCGCGATATGGAAGACATGGTGACGAAACAGGTATCCATTGTGGCGATCGACCAACCAACGATGGACTGACGGGAAGTGAACGGGCAGGTCATGGCCCAGGCGACCGCCACGTTTGCTACCAAAGACGCGCTGCGGCAGCTCAAAGACGAAGTCATCGAGCGCCATACGGCTAAAACGGCAAAGGTTTGTACTAGGACTAGTGTGCCAACTTACCCTTCCTAGATGGAGCACCACATGGTGACGCGGAGGGACCTGGAAGCAGTGGAGGAGCGGGTGACCGCTGCGTCGAAAGCTCTTCATCGCACTCAAACATTACAAGTCAAAGATTCCGTCGGCCATTTAGAGCAAGGTCTGCGCAAGCACTTGGCGGATCACCTTGCCGCCGCGCGGGACGAATTGAAGAAGTTCAAGGCACAAGTGGACGAGTCAGTCGCTAGAACCGCCACCGACTGTCACGCCCACTTGGTACATACCTCGGACTGGACTTGCGTTGCATCATCGACGCCGTAGCGGCAGCGCGCGATGGCGTCCGATGTCAAAGTCGTCTTGTCCGACAAGGTGGACCGCGCCGAATTGGACTCGAGGGAGGTTGGTACATGCACACACGCGCGCGATCACAGCTGAACCATTGTCTTGCTTAGAAGCAGCTCGAGGACCGTGTGGGGGGTCGACTGGACGACGCCCTGCAGCAGGCCGTGGCAGAGTGGAAGCACGAAGTCGCCGCCGCATTGCACAAAAAGTGTCCCAAGGCGGACGTGGCAAAGCTGCTTGCTCGAAAAGTGAATCGAGGTGACGCACATGCAAGTGTCCGGCTTTCGTTCACGCATTGGTCTTGGCAGAGGACGTTGACGCGGCGTTCGCAGATAAAGTCACCCACACTGAGATGCAGGTTGTGCTGGGTGCTGCGATTACAGCCGTCCAAGACGAGGTCAAGCAGGAAATGCAGCAAATCCAGCGCGTGCTCGAAGGTAAGCTTCACGACCACGGCGAGATGGTGGCGCAGCACGTGCGCGACTTGGTACGTCGTCCTGTGTATCCATGGTGGTTTTTCATGGACAATGCATCCGTGTATCGTAGCAACACGAACAGGCACAGCACGCAGACGGGTGGACGGGAGCGCTTGAAGATATCCGCGGCAAAGTCGCCGTCAAGGTGACAAGTGTCGACCGCTGCTTCATTGCTCTCATGCGACTGTTCAGATGGGCATCAAAGATGCGTGCACGCTCCTCGACACAAAGTGCAACGTCGCCGACGTGAACGACGCGCTGGGGGCGCTGCAGGATACGATCCACACCAAGGCGGACGACGGCGACGTCCAGGCGCTTGTGGACGACGTCACGGGGCTTCGAAAACAACTCCGCGGCGAACTCTGTGTTGGCCGTTGGGTGCGTGCGACGCAATCCCTTGCACACTCAAGCGACGTCATGCGCGGTAGATCTGGAAGACGGGGCGGCCCACAGACCGCCACACCATCGCATGGACCGTGCAAGTTGTCAACACCAACCCCGACGTGTTTGCGTGGGAGAAAGGATCGGACCACGTGACGGCTATCGTGCCGGGGTTGTACCAACTGCAAGCAAGCTTCTTCACCGACTACGCTCCGACGCTGCAAGTCCTCGTCAACGGCGAGCCCGCTTTCGTCGTGCAAGGGTTGGCAGTGCACGAGAGATCGCGGCGTGTGATGACGACGTGCGTGCGTCGTAGGGAGAAGGGCGATGCCTTGGGACCGCACGGCCAGCGACGTCGGCGCCGGCACACGGCAGGCAACGTGACTGGCATCTCGTTGTGCGATTTTCTCGCGTTGCCTCCTCGCGCAACAGTGTCCGTGACGTACGATATCGACGAGCGAGCCCAGGGATTCCTCACGCTGCGCAAGCTGTAGTCCTGATAAGCGAATAAACTACAGTCGCCGACGAAATGTCCCCGTCGCGGTAACGATGGCTACGCACGGTCTGCTTCGTGGCAACGTATCGGGCAAGATACCACGCTGTCTGTGCGATCTCACGACACTGTCGTTCAGGTGACATGCGCCGCAGAGGATGACGCACCGCAAAGGTGCCACATCGCCGTCCGGCGGATGCCTGTGACGAAGGACTCGAGAGGGAGCGCCAATCCACCATGCATGCCATTCACGCAGCACGTCCATTGAAGCGTGAATTGAAGGGGTTTTGATCGGCGAGCTACTGCCAGGTACATCACATGCGGGCGCTTTGTCACGCCCACTTTTGCGTGATCGCAGCACCAAGGAGCCCTGCCGCTTGCAACGTCGCGTCCATGTCCGTGATGGGCTTGGGTGGAAACCCGGCGAGAAGGACGTACGGTTGTGTGGCGGCGCCTTCGCGACGGATGATGGCATGAAGGTCGCGGACGGTGTGCAGCGCCGAGTTGAGCGTTTCTCGGACGCGGCCGCCAGTGGCAAGGCGGATTTGAAGCACAGTCGTGGGCTGGGTGGTGTCCACGGGCTTGCAAGTACCAGACGCGTTGGTGTCTCGAACGATGGCGCTCACATCAACCTACGTTCCGCCCTCGTGAGTATGATGCATGTGACGACCTGAAGCTTACTGCCGACGCGCCCATCGTTTGTCCAGCACCGGCAAACGCTTCGTATTGTGGCTTTGGTTTGCCCTGATACTGCTCGTGGCGCTTGTCGACGAGAGAAATATCGACGTGCTCTCCGCGCTGGTGCAACGCTTCCAACTCGCGTGGGACGTGGCCGCGCTCGATCGCACTGAGAAACTCGCGGTTGCTCTCGTCGTCACGGCGACGGTATTCTCCGTCATCGACAGTGAACCCCTCTGCATAGAATGTAATAACGTGCGCTGGAACAATCGCGGCACCGCCGCTGTCGCCACCATTGGCTGCAAGACCTTGTTGCTGTGCACGGGAGATGATGTTGTCGACATTCGGGTTACCATGACCCATAGGGTTGCCGTACACGCTCAAGCCGCTCCCACCACCATGCGACGACGTGCCGCCGGTGTAGTAGGACTGTTTTTCTTCGTCATCGTCCTTCTGCTCACCGCGCAGGCGGCCGAACCCGAAGACGTTGGCCATCGGCAATTGTGACACTTCTGCGGCTGACCGTTCTCGCACCGGAATGGCGATATAAAGTAACCGGTGGATCCCTCTCCGCTATGCATATATCCAGAGCGATATAATAAATCTCTATGATGAACATTTGGAGCATATCTTGAACAATATATCATTCCGTTCAGTTATATAAAAATCGGGTATATTGGACCATAATGAAATGAAGTGCTTTGGGCCAAGATTTCATGGAAATCGCGAAACGCCATCACACGATGGAGGGTGAAACCCGCGTCCGCCGCGCGACGGCCGACGAGCGCGACGTCGTGGAAGCTTTCCTTCGTGCGGCATACGTGGAATCCGGCAAGTCCTTTCCGTTCGTTCAACATACCAAGCAAGATGCGTGGATGTTTGTGGCAGAAGACAGCCATGGCGACACCGTTGCCGCGACCAGCGCTGTGTGGGACCCAGTGATGTCGACCGTCACGATGGAGCACGTCGCCGTAGCTTTGCATTGGCGCAACCAAGGTTTGAACGATGCTCCACGATGCATATCTCCCTCACGAGTATTCCAGGCGTTGGGTCTCAACTGCTCGCCGGCGTGGATGCGTTCGTCCAGGTCGAAATACCAACATGCAAGTACCTCGCATTCATCACGGACGCGTCACCCAAGATGGAAGCATGGGCACGTGATCGCTTATTCCGCGAAGTGTCGGGTGGCTTCCTGCCAGATGCTACAGGCCGCTACGTTGTGTACCGCGTACGTCCACGATTCCCACGAGTGTGCTACATGATGCCATGTCTCCATGTCGATGGCGCAGAAGTGCTTGATGACCGCAGACCAGAAAGAGTCCCATGACATCATGGGTGACTTCCTCGCGCAAGTGATCGATCACGACGACATGGCACGGAGTGATTCCGCGCAGCCCAACGATCTCCACCAGGACGAGCCCAGCGTCCTTGCGTCCCTCCTGACAAAAGTCGCGACTCCATCACGTCCATCCCATTCACATCTTTACCGTTGCATCGTAGGTTTCGCTGGGAAAATTCCAAGCCATTGCAACGTCGCTGGATGCCGAGGCGAGCGCGTCGGATGCCGGGCTCCGCGTGGAGTGGAGCGAGTTGGATGGATTCGTCCATGAGACGCCGTTCCCTTGTGCGAGCCCTGGCGACGACAACGACCCATCACTCGATTCGCTCGTGCGGTTGCTCATGCATCAACTCAAGGATCCGGCGCAACGTCGTCCGCTCTTCGACGACCCATCCATCGCGACGACCGATTCCACGACGATCGCTGCGGCGCGGGCCATCCACCAAACCGCCAAACCCGACGAGACTTGCCTCCCATTGCCACCCACCCACAAGGAGACGATTCATCATCGGGTTTAAATACGCGCTTTACAGGAAATGCTGCATGACCGCACGCAACCCATACATGAGCCCGGCCTGCTTGCGCGCCTCGGCCGCCAGCAATGTCACGTGGCATTTCTCCGACGCCGTCAGCGTGTGGCTAAAGTGCTCGACGTCCTTGGCAGCGACGCGCCACGGCGTGCATGCGACCTTCTTGACGAATTGCTTGGTTGGCCGGTTCAAGTAGATGTTGACGTTGCGGTAGTCGTAGTCGTCATGACAGATGCCGTAAATGCGATGCACGTAGTACCAGATCGCATGGCGGAATGGCGTTGTGTCGACATGGGACTCGTTTTGGGCGGCATCGTCATCGTGCTGGTTCGGGTGGGTCGATTCGAGCACCTGGTGGGGGGCTTTGCCGTACGTACGATACGTCAGCGTCATCGTGAGCTTGAACAAGTCTTCCAGGATCGCTCCCTACTCGACCATCATCGACGTGAGTCGTCCTGGCTGCTTCGATGCCATGCCGTTGACCATAACATGGAGAAGCGTACCCCCGGGCCGGGAAAGTATCGACTCACAAGGGAGAAGCAATGCTCGTCCCATGAAAAGTCCTCCGTGTGCAGCACGTTGTACTCGGTCGACCGCACGTCAAAGTCGACGTATTCGTCAATGGTTTCGCTGCAGTAGTGCCACAGGTCGCCCTTTCGCGGCGCCACCGCCGGCTCGATCGAGTCGTCGCGGGAATGGAGCCGTCTGGACGATACCCGGTGATGCTTGCCGCACCCGCTGCTGCCTACACAGACCAGCCCGTCAACGACGGGCACTTGGTTTTGCATGTCGCACCGGACAACGCTGCAGCAAGATCAAACGGCGCGTCATCGCCATCGTCGTCGTCGCTGCCATCACGCGCGTCGCCATCGTCGTCATCGCTGCTGCTGTCATCACTCGAGTTGTTTGGATCGCCGGCCGACGAATGGTGCGCTTGAAAGCGCGCGCGGAGCTCCGCTTCCTCCTCTTCCATCCGGACGTGATCGTACTCAGGTACGCCGGTGCTGCTGCACTCGCTCTTGCGGTCGCTAAGGCTGCTGCTCTTTCGACGGCTGCGCATAGTCGGGACAAACATCGACGTGCTCGAGAGGAATGTCATGTCGGGCTCGTCCACGCAGCCCAGACCGAGCGCAATGCTCGAAATCGAATGAAACATGCACATCACGACGATGGCGTGGACGAGCTCCGATACGGACCACGACGACCCGTCGCAGTCGGTCGTCGTTTGCAGCTATCAGGAACAACGTCAGGAGGTTCGTGCGCCGAGGTGTGATCCCGCGAGAGATTACGGCGGATGGATGGTGGAGGGGACGCTTTCAAATGGAGACGTACCAGCGCTGCAACGTCGTCGGACGTAATGAGCCACGGCTGGTGCGCCAAGAGCGCGTTCAAACTGTGCAGGCGCGCGAGCTTCGACGGCACGTAGTCGAGGCCATCCAGCCAGGCTGCGTCCCCGCCGTTGATGAGAAAGTAGTGCTGGTGCAAAATGCACACGTAATGGCATCGGTACTCGGACGCGGCCATGAGGGCGATGTAGTTGCGCCATTCCAGGGGAAGCGGGCCGTCTAGAACGATAGTCGACACAGTGAGGAGCTGTCCATCGAGCCGAAGCGTACCGCTGAGCATGATAGACGATATGAGGCTACGGTGGAGCTACAAGCGAACACGTTCGAATGACAACGAGGTGCGACGATCGAGAGCGAACCTTGAGGTAAGGAGTGTGCCACGCAAGCATCCGCGTGAGATGGGAGACGCGGCCGGACTGAAGGAAGCATTTGACAAAGATCGCTTCAAGGTCTGGGTCGTTGGCCGCGGTCACGTCGACGATCTCGTGTGGGTCCATGCAGTACGACACAGGGGAGTCGTCGTTGGAATCGTACGGTGTGTTGAGTTCGTCGAGGATGTCACGGCAGCCAGTTCGTACGTCTGGAAGCGGTGCGCCGCGTGCCAACCGCCGCAAAGTCGGCACATGGATGTCCAGCGTATGTGGGTCCATCTCGACCAGGTCGAGTCGGATTTTTTGGATCGCGGCGGCGCGTTGGCGGGCGTCTGAGCGCAGGAGGCGTCGAAAGAACCATTCCTTTCGCGCCGCAATGTGGTCGTCTCCACGGGAAGCATACATCCTCAGCAGTGTCGTGACTTGGCGCGGCGTCCACTCCTTCGTTCGCCCCAGGCAGTGGCGGTGGTCCGTCGCGAGGTCGGTTGGCCTTTGGCAATGGCACCACCACGTGGTGGCATGTAATTAAATTCTTCTGGTCCGTATATCTTGAGTTCTCTATGTCCCAATCCGCAATTTAATTCACGCTACTTCCATGTGGTGGCCAACCCCACCTTCTAACGGGAGAGTGAGGCCGTCGAGTGCACTCTCAACAAATTCCACAAGACACACACCGCGTCCTCGCGCGAACAACGGCGGCCGCGACTGCCACTACGTCGTAAGGCAAGACGCTGTATGGCTGAACACGGGCACTGACCAGTACGTATATGATGCGACGCCACGAGCGCACACAAGGCCACTCGCATGCCCACTCTCATGTGAGCGCATATGTGACAGCCGCCCAATCAAAACCCGACCGGCGCTTCCTGCGAACCATCATGCTGGGCACCTGCCAATGGTAGCGAGGCCCCCGTCGACATGGCGACGACTCTCGCGTCCCAGCCCCTTTCGCGCGTGCGGGACGCCGATGGAGTCACGATTTCGTCGAGGACGAGTTGTGTACTGTGCGCAAGTGCAAGAGCATCGACCGAATAGCAACTTCAAGTTGAAGTTCTCGGCATGCCATCGTTTCTCTGCGGGGTTCCAAGGATATGCCACAACGTCAGCGCAAAGAAGCACGGGTGTTGGGGGGAGCTGGGCTGATGCGTGGGCAGGAGACTTGCGATTAACTACGTATGTCGAGGGGGGAAGGATGGGTTGCGCGGAGGTGGGGGGCGCGGGCGAAACGGCGACGGTGACCTTTCAAGGGTTGTAACTGGGGCAATCGTGTTGAGCTGAGAGGCGCGATGCTCGGTGAATATGAGCCGGTGGCGCCGTACGATTTCGCAGGCGACGAAGCCGCCGTGACGGCCAAGTACCAGCGCGGGTCGAAGCTCGTTGCGTCGGTCTTTAACAAGTACCACAATGGATCACATCGCATAGTCGATGCCACGGTTATCGCAGCCCTCATGCGCGAAGAGGATGCCCTCTTTGGCCTCCAATGCCTCGTTGAACAAGGCCCTGCTGCCATATGCCGCGAGCGCAAGGAGTCGGAAGTTCGGACCATCGCGAGCCAGACGACCAAGGCTGTACAAGGTTTGGCAACTGGAATTGAATCCGTCGGCTTGATGCACGTAGGGAGCTGGATCCCCACGCTGTGTGGTGGACTCTTGGGGACGCCCAACACGATCATGTTTGTGGACTCGATCCCACCGCCGACGCATGATGTTCATGCGGTGGGGTGTTAGGCGCAATTGGGATAACCTCGGCGAGAAAAGTACACTCACGGCGATGCAAGAGTACCTCGAGTTGCTCGAGAAGTTGCTGCCTGGATGGGACGACCAGCCCATGTTTCCCGTTGCTCTCTCGGTGCGCATGGCGGGAATCGCCAAACGCCTGTGGAGTAGGTGGTCGCTGACGAGTACCACAGGATCATTTCTGGAAGGACGACGCAGCAGCGACCGCTTGCGCAGCGTGCCATGTTGATTTCTCGCTGCAGCGTCGGCGCCACCACGTACGTTCGTCAGCAATGCCACACATATCCATTCATGTGCTACACACTTGTAGTGCCGCATGTGCTTTGACATCTTTTGCCACGGGTGCTCGCCGCATGTGGTCGAGCTACAGCTGTCTCCCGGCGCCCCTGCCCGTCCGCTTCGCGTGTGCACACCATGCAAAGCAGCGATCGACAACGACAAACGTCCGTCCGCCTGCTCTCGTTCTGGCTCATAACCCGTGGAATTTGACCCCGCAGGCTTGATGGAAGTGCGCCGTTTGGTCCAAGAAAACCGAGACCTCAAAGCACGGATTCAGTCGATTGCGCATGACACGGACACGAGGGTTCACGCGCAGATGGCGGTCGCGGCGACCCTCCGCACGAACGCGATTGCTCAAGGTGCGATGCGCGACCCATCCATCGCTCACGATGGCCAGTGCAGGATGCAACATGACAGCGGTCGACAAGTCGATTCAGGACAAATGCCGCGATGATGACCCTGGCGCGGCTGTGCTCGATTTGCACATCAAGACACCGCCCGCGCACAAATTTCGCGTACGTGTGTCGCCGGCACGGCCGACTCAAAAGGTGTCCGCGCCGACGTAGCCGAGCGAATCTGTCGAAGCCAGCGAGCAACTGCGTGTGGCAAACCGACAGCTCGTGTTGTGCCTCAAAGTCGCCGAAACTCGAGCGAAGAAAGCGCTCGAAAGAGTCGACGCGACGACGGCCGTGCTACAAGAGGTACGCTGTGCCGCTGCAGCCACGCCGTTCGTGCAAACGTTCCCTGTAGGCCATTCAAAACCAGCGCAAACCATGGCGCCCCATTGCGCGGCTCGTTGTGCCGTTCTTGACGATTGTGGACCTCAAGCGTCTTGCACAGGTACGTCTTGCCAGGTCCTTCGTCTGCGCCACGCACGCCTGTCAACTCTTCCTTTGTCTTGCACAGTCGGCGCGGCCGTTCCAGGCATACATTGCCACCCACGACCTCGAACGGAGCTCGTGCTATCGCCGAGCGTTTCCTCACCACTTTCGGCAAGGCGAATGGAAGCGCGTACGACGTGGCCATGCTGACGACGACATGGTGTAGGCCGCAATTCTGGATGTGGCGCACCTGTTGCGATGCAGACACGCACAAGTACATTTGCGACTTGGCGGACGCCCTGTCGTCGCATCTCGGCCACCCATCCGATTCGGACGACGCGCTGCACTGGTCGTCGATTATGCTCAAGTCGTCCGCAACGTGGTCCGAAGCGTACTCGCTTGTGGTGGCGAAATGCGGCGCCGACGGAACCCTCGAGCACGACAAGCAAATCCTCGCCGACGTCCAGCGCACGTTTGGCCGGTCGTCGCTTCGAAAGCAAACCCGCAAGTTGGCGGTACGATGACGCTTGAACGTCGCACATGCGTGGTTCGGCTGAGATGGGCAGTGGCCGCGTAGCTGCATGCGGCCCAAGACGATGTCGACGCGAAGAAGGTTGCATTGGCCCGAGTTCTGCGCGCGTTTACAGCCACCCATTCGACCCTCGGCTACTGTCAAGGAATGGTACGATCGAGTCCACCGCGGCCGTCATGTTTGACTGTGGTGCAGAACTTTTTGGCCGCGTTTTTGTTGACAAACGTGCACTGGAACGAAGCGCAGGCGTTCTGGCTGCTCACTGCCGTGGCAGTGTCGCCGCAGTATCAACTCATGGAACTGTATCGCCCGGGCGTTCCCTTGCTCAACTTGCGCTTCTATCAGGTTGGTTTGTCGCGTCCATGCCGCCCTGCAGCGGCTCACGCGCCGACTTGTAGCTGCAGGCGCTGGTCCAGCAGCTTCTCCCCGACTTGCACGCGCATTTTGAGGCCCACGACTTTCACGTGAGCATGTGCGCGTCGGGGTATGTCGTCGTCTGGACGGTATCTGGATTCAGTGGCCTGTATCTAGGTGGTTCATGACGCTGTTCACCAACTGCGACACGTTGCCAGCAGACGCTGTCGTCCGCGTCCTCGACTGCTTCCTCGTGTACGGCTGGAAGTGCATCTTTCAAGTCGCGCTGGCGCTGCTTCAATTCCTCCAAGTACGATCGAGCTTTGATTTGTGGTCATGACGGCGTGGCGACGACCACCCATTCCAATGCGTGTGGACCAGCGATGGAGGATGGCCGCAGTGTGGTGTTTCATGGCCGGCTAACAGTCTCTCTTAGCCCGATCTTCTTCAAGTCGACTTTGAAGCGATTGTCGACGTGTTTTACACGCTCGACGACAATGCGGTACGCCGATGGATGCCCATGGTTTGGCTCACCACTTTGCGTTGTGCAGCTCATATTGCATCCCGAATACTTGATCCATGCAGCGCACGCGATGCCCGTGACGGATCAAATGCTGAACGAGCTCCAAGCAGCGTACGAGCTCGAGTTCCCCGGCACTCTTGGGTCGCTGCGGCCGTACGCGACCACGCCATCCGCCGTGCAAGTTGCAGGCAAGGCAGCGGCGACGCCAACGCGCCGCACGCGCTTGCTCCCGTCGCTCCTCACGGCGCTGTCCCTTTCGAATTCAAGTCCGACGGCGGTCGACGACGACGTCGGCATGCTCGATGTGAATTGCAAGATTTCGTGATTTTACCTAACAATCTGCTGCTTTTGACACGTGGCACACCTTCACGCGTCGCTGCTTTTGTATGTTTTCGTTCACGGTGATCTGTCTGTCGTTCGCTCGTCATGCGGTCGTCGACGACGTTGCCGTGGGCCGATGCGATCTGTGCCCTGCGCTCCAACACGTTCGGAGCCAACGGCTGATGGTCTCGCAATTCGGCGGGGCGGCCTTTGCCCAGCGCTTCGACATGGCACACAACGTCTCGCGGCAGGAGCGGAATTCGGAGTCGCGATTTTCATACATTGGTGTGATGGATGCATGCGCGCCGCCTCCCAACCATGCGAGAGGAGGATCTGCGCGACCGGCCAAGATGGAGGCGGCAACGACCGACGGGAAAGTCGACTTGACAGTTACATCCAGCCATGTCGAAGCGACCGACCGTGCCGGACTTCGGGAGCGTCGAGTACTGGGACAATCGGTACATCGAGGCGGGGGCACGAGCCAGGATGGAGTGGCTCTTCCCGTACAAAGACGTCCAGGGGTCGTTCGAGTCGTACTTGGGGCCAGACAAATCGGCCGTGCGCGTGTTGGTGCTCGGGTGCGGCACGAGCACGCTGGCCGACGACCTCCGACAGGCTGGTTTTCACCACGTGACGTGTATCGACTTTTCCGGCGCTGCCATCCGCTGCATGACGTCGGCTTCCTCCCCGCCCGCCGTGTCATCGACGCAACCTCCGCCGATTCAATGTACGATCCCTCGACAGCGCGCTGCATCTTGCCGTCGCACGTAGATATTCAAATGGACGTGCGCGACTTGACTGCCTTTGCCGACAACTCGTTCGACGTCGTGATCGACAAAGGTCCGGACCAGCCATCGTCTGCTCCATCCCCAGCGCTGCCGACAAAACCTTGGTGCTGGTGTAGGAGTGCTGGATTGTGTTGTGTGCGGCATCTCCAACTCGGTCGGCGCGACCAGGATGCTGTCCGAAGTGCGGCGGGTGCTCCAAGCCCCGTCCGGCGTCTTCTTCCTCTTCTCCAGTGCGTCGTCCACGTTGGCTGGTCATGATCGATATGTTCTTGCCATGTAGCTGGGTCCTACGCCACGCGTGTGCCGTACATCGAAGAAGCGTCGTCGCCACCCGCCTGGCACATCACGCCCGTCGTGCTGGGTAGTCTTGGAGTGCCACACATCTGGAGGAATCGAGCGTCACGATGCCTTGAATAGGCCAGCCGTCGCATGTGCTGGCGCTGATGCTTCGACCCGCGGACGGCCACCCGAGAGGCACACTTGCTGTACCATTCACGACACAGGCCAAGACGTAAAACGATGCCCAGACGTCGACGATGGCGCACGCAGCTCGACAAATGCGCTGCCCACGCAAACGTTTCATGGCGCACATTCGCATCCGACGTGACTCGATGCAATCGATCGATTCGGGGGCGTGTTGACGTGTGTACGTCGGACTCGCGAGTCGTGCCGAGCTGTAGAGTCTGTCGTCTTCCGATAAACGCTTGCCACATCGAGCCATCGATTCGACAAACGCTGCGTCTTGTACATGTCAAAGGCATCGGGAACCAACGGACTGCTGGTCTTGGACGGATTGCCACGCATACGTCTTGAGGCGGGTTTCCGCCCTCGACCAGGGGGCCGTGAGAACCCAAGCAGTGGATGGGACCCCAACTCTCCTCGCACACGACAACAGGTTGGTGGCGCTTGACCAACTCGAGCTTTTCCCAAACGGACGGCCCACGTTGGTCGTTCAGTTGCTCGTTCGCGCGACACACCCACTTTGACGGATGGTTTCATGTGATTGCGTTGAAAGCACCGTGGTCGGCCGCCGCGACGGCCCCGTCTGCACATGCGGCAGTCCATGTGGTCGGGCGGATGTACGTGGTAGTGAGAATGTCGTCGGCGGCAACCACGCCTCGGCGATCACACACGACATGAGTGGGTTTGTTCGTATGCGTGCCAGCGCCACGGCGACGGGTCTCGATTATAAGGCCCAAGCACGGATGGCTCCGTTTGTTGGGCGTACCCAAGGTCTGGTTGACGGATGGTGGCTCCCATGCCTCAGCGGCATTGTGGACAAGACGCGACGATGGATGGGAGCGCATCGCCACTTTTGCCACCCCGCTTTGCCCCTGGGCGATGGCACTATCGAGGTCGTCGTCGAGCGTGCGTTGAACTCGTTGTGCAGGGAAGTTGCGAAGTGGATCGGAATGGCCGAGTAAGGTCCAGTCGGCGCGACATCCACAACCTGCTGACCGACTTGGCGGCATGGCACCCACAACAGCAGCCTTCACGAGTTTGCCGGCATCGCTGACAGCTCTCGTTCGCCCTAGCAACCGCCAGTTGTCGCTTTGCTGGACAGGTCGGACCACCTTGTGCAAGTCCAACGGGTCATTGCACCTGCCAAGACGTGCTCCATGTCTGCCATCTACGGATGGGTTGAGAAGGCGGCCGTGATGTGAATCAAGATATCTGAAACCACAGATCGCGCTGGGGAACCGAGTGGTTGGAAGACTTGCGACGGCACGTGGCAGGTGATGGTCGCGTGGACTTCAAGACGTGTACCGGTGATGCTGTAGGTGACAGCTCATGATGACGACGATGGAGTGAGCGATATGGTGGGGGACGTTGAACGTATGTGGGGCCGCTCCCCTTTGGTAGGGGGGAAGTGCTCTTGGGCGAACCTCGGTTTGGGCCCTCACGTGCAGGAACGAGGGTGACAGTGGGGGAGGCATGACTCTCATGGAGCATCTCCCAATGGCCCAAGAACTCATGGAATGTCATGCTGTCAGCTCTGTGCTTTACTGTGTGCGCGCTCTCCGTTTCGGCATTGACGACGCCGGCCATGACACCGTTCCACGGCACGTCTGCTCGCCACCGCCGCGCCAACGACCCGTCCCAATGCATCGACGCGCTCAAGAGCGTTCCAGGCGTGGTCCGCAGCGGCGATGTCCAACATGCCCTCCTGCGTCCACACGTAGAGTGATGCCACCCAACGTCGTGCGGGTGCAATGCCGACCCGCCTCCGAAGTTTGGAACACCGTTCTGGGTGTGGGTTTTCGTTGGCATCGGGTCCATCGCGGGGGTCATCTGGCGCTGCGGCAGGGTGTCCGAGCTGAGTCTATCCAGTTCCCAACACGTTCCCCGACAGCCCGCAGTCGTCTGTGAGCCTCATGGCTTCGGTGGCGTCCCGGTGTCGCCATTGGGGCCAGCGAGGACAGCGTCCGGCGAAACTCTGGCCGATGGCCTATCTTGGCGATGACGGTGGTGCACGTCTGTGGACGCGGTGACTTGAATCGCACGCGTAACATTCATATATTCCGAGTTGGCAGTCGATGACTGTGATCTCAATCGTGTTGTCGTCCAACGTGAAAGCATGTCTAGAGTCGACGGTGGCGGTGTGGTGCCAGGCAATCGACGGAGCTTGCTACGGCAGCACACTGTCTGTCGAAGTAGGAGGTTCTGCGAGGGGCAGATACCATGCGTCGGACATCCCGGCACGGTCACGAGCTGCCGTGTTGAACGGCGGAAGTAGGTTGCCGCTGTAGTGTGATCGCACGAGGCGGTGAAAGGTCGGAAGCACGGGCTCGTCTTTTTGGGCACACACGTAGGTGAACCATCGCACGCCAGCTTCCACTAGGACGATCCAAACTGCATGACGTATTCTTGTACGGACCAACGAGTGCAAGGGGCCGCACGAAGCGAATGGATGCGTGAGTACGTACCATGCGTAACTTCTTCGGCGTGGTTTTTGGCCATGACAGTTAACGTCTTGTCGTCACCACATTTCGTGAAGCGCGCTACGGCCATCGGGTACGTGTCGAGACCGCGGGCCTCATGGACGAGGTGCACGAGCGCGAGGCGGGCGAGGATGTCTCCGGCCGTATCTGCCGCGCTGCCCCAAAGGCCGTCGTGGCCAGGGAGCGCGCCGTAGTACGAGTCCAGCTCGACGAGTCGAGTCGCCCAGCTTGTAAAGTGCTGGGATTCCTCATGGGCAATCCGAACAAAATCGTCGTAGAAGGACCGGGGCATGCCATTCAACGGGCCGAACCGACAGATCATGTCCCACATCAAGTCGATCGCGTAGCTTTCGGCGTGGGCGACACTAGGCCACCACGGTGTGAGGGAACGCAGGCGGCAAGGCTGGAACGACCTGCCTCGACGAGTCGTACCTATGTGCGAACGCTTTGCGGTTGCCTTGTTTCACCTTCTCCTTCTTCCCGACAATGCGCACGTAATCTGGACGTGATGGTGCATCTGGGATGTCGCTCAGATCGTCGTCGACGCTCATGATGACATTCAACTCGCCCGACTTCCACGCATTCGCGAACGCATGCGTCTTGGTGGCTTTCGCGAAGGCACAGCTCGTGTTGAGCACTTCGATCGCACACGAGACGAGCGACCGACTCGACAAGTCTGTAAGGTCACTCTCCGCCGCGCCGTTGGCGTCAGTGCTCGTTGCACGACCGTCCACGCGCGCCTCGCCCACCATCGAGTTGTCGGGATGCCAACATGCCGCGGACTTAATCAGTCGCACTTAATTGAGCCTTCACGGTGGCCAAGATGAAGTTGTTGGTTTCGTCGCGAACGGAGGAGGCGCAGGTGCCGCGCGCGACGGACGGCTCATCGCGGCCACGACACCGATGTCCGTCTAGCGGTGCAACGTGCCGTAGAAAACTGCTCCGACGTTGATCGGCGGCGAGGTATTGCTGCGAATTTAGTAAACGTCGCTACACTGAGGCAAGTGTAATCATGCACCACGCGTTGGGCGGACATTCAAGAAGCCGTCGTGGAAGCAGGTTCATTCCACATGCACCTGCGCCAATGGACCTTCGCTGTGGCAACATTACGTCTGAAACAGGAAATTGAACGGGTCATCCTTCATCCCGACTGGTCGATCATGGCAAAGAGAATGGACAGAGAAATTAAGGGCTGGTACGCCGTCGTCCCAAACGTAGTCATGACATGCGCTTGTCGAATCGTTGCAGGAAGCGCCTCGAATTCGGAAGCACACTTTGCCCCGCACAACCCCTGCGCATCATTCCAGGCTTCCCCTCCCGTTGTATCCCAGCGGCGATTGTACCCCATTTTCAAACGGTGGGCAAGTGGAAAGGCCTCTGGCCCTTCCACAGCTACGTGACTGTAATTGTAGTGCTAAGGCAGTGGTCAGAGCGCAACCTCCTTCGAACCAAGCAAGCTTCTGCGATGACCAAGCCGAGTGTCTCTGGCATAATCCTGACGATCCGTTGCAGAATCGTCAAGCAAAGTTCGTCTTGGACGTCAGAGAAGTCGCCACTAGAAGAAAACCAACTAGCTTCATTTAGACAAGTACAAGCGAGCAGATGGCCACCGTCGATGTGGTGGCGTTCTCGCTCCCTTCGTTTCATGGTCGGAGCGAACGGACTCGCGACGACTTGCGCTGCCCATGGCGCCTCTGCGGAGCAGACGTGCAAAAACGCGTGTGTTGTGGTTGCGCATAGATACGCAGATATATTTATTAAATTTTCCTTCCATGGGAAAATAAAAATGCATGAACTTCCTGCGGATGTGGCGTTTTGGAGCAATAAAATGGTTGCAAAACCGACCATTGTTGTCCCGCGGATTAAAAGTGCGGGAATTTTTCGATAGTGAAATCAAGTCGAATTATGTGTCGGCATTGACTCGGTGTCGCCTGTGATTGGCAGTTCATTCTGACTTGGATTTAGTATACTGACAGTTGTATGGCCCAAGTTACTTTCCGATTTCCCTCCCGAAAGACACACCCAGCACGATGGAAAGCGCCGCCGATTTGAAGACGACCCCTGTGGACCCTCGTTTCCCGACCCAAAACCAAACCCAACACTGCTGGTACGAGACGAATGACAGTCGACAGGACAAAGCGACGCTGGACGGCCAGCAGCAATCTTGACACGAGTGGGGGCACCAACATGACGAACATGTGTGTAGGGTCCGATACAACGAATGGGCTTTGTGTTTGAAGAAGAACGACGATGACGAAGATGCGTGCAAGAAGCACCGCCAGTACGCCAAGTCGCTCTGCCCTGGCTCGTGGCTTGAAAAGTGGGACACGGAACGCGACGAAGGCAACTTCTCGGGTGTTCCCAAGTAAATAATCGTCTGTGCACTTCGGCCTTTTCGCTGGACAGCACCGTAGATTGCTATATGCCACTAAACGCGCTGCAATATTCTTCGACTCCGTCTTCAGAAGTGCGTGCGTGCAAGAAAGCGAGGTGCACCGATGTTGGAGACTGGATGCGGCAGGACGAATTGTTCACCATGGCAGGAGATTCGTGAAAGAATGAACAGACCCCCACTCTTCACATTGACCAGGAGATGATCACTGGACATGTCAAATGTAGGGTAAGTCACAATGCATCCAAAGCGGCGCCACCGAGCTTGGCCCCATGTGGCGGCGGGCGTGCTCTGCATAGGATAGCGCAAAAGAGACATACTTAATATGAGTACTTTATCGGGTGGTGTCAAGTGATTAAAATCACTTTCTTTTTAATTGGCATGTCGAGATTGTATCGATTGGTTCAAGACAATAAAAAAGTTCAGATGTCAGATGTCAAAGGCCTTCAATAAAGTAGTTGATCCGATTTTGAATCCTCGCTGAGATTTCCATCCGCCTGCGATGGACTTTCCATGGCGAATGGACTTGCGGAGCCATGGAATCGGTAACAATCTGTGTGCTGTTTGTGCCAGCACTGGCGTCCTTGCTGTCGCCATGGGCAGCTTTGTGGACTTGTATCTTTTGCAGGACATCGAGCGGAGCTCATGCCATGACCTTGTTGGCCCGATTGACGACGTTCATATTCCATTTGCGACACAAGTCTGCCTTCAAACGAACGGTGATCCATACATGCTGGACGAAATACATGATGTTGTGCCAACATGTGTTCAATTTGTGGACAACACGCTCCTGGTGGCGACATCCACGACAGAAAGTGGCGCGACGACTGCCCATCTTCAGGGATTTCGCGTCTTTGGTGGCACGAGCTCTGTGGTGGTGCATCACGTTTTCACCCAACGATGGGAACGAGAGTTTACAGCCATTACCGCGCTTGAACCGATGACCTCCATGGGCGTATACGTTTTAGCGCAAGGGCCGTCGACATCGTCCATCGATGCCCTGACCTGGACAGATCGATGTGTTTCGGTTCAAGTAAATCCTTCTCGTATGCGTATCGTGGTGGAGCTGACCTTCTGATGTATGTTGCAGCGACACCCGATAACGTCGACTCACGTGGGCATGACCGCAATGTCCTTCGAACACTCGCAGTTCCTCCTCGCCATCGCACACTCCCAAGGAGTTGCTATCCACACCATTCACGACCTCCGCCGCACCGCTGCGCCGATCCAGTGCGCCTTGATCGTCGCTAGTTTGGCATTAAGCATGCATCGAAGTACGTACCGTGCGAGCTGCATCCTACTCCAACAATTCGTCGCGTTGGTGGGTAGAAGTGGCCATCACGGCCTTAACTTGGCGGACGACCGTAACAAGTGTCCGAGACCTAACGCTGTGTGCTGGTGTGGCTGATGGCACGACTCTGGTACGAACAAACCCTTTCCTTCATCCTCGATATCATGCAAGACATCGTCGTCATGGAAGGTGTTTCGTGTGGCGCTCCCTTCGCATGCATTGATCACGCCATCGCCTCCTTCAGATCTGAAGGGTTGTCTTATTCATGTATGGACAGTGGCGTGCCACCATTATCGATGGCACCATGCATCCCGGTGGTTTGGATACACCCTCTGTTCATCGTCGTGGGTGGTAGGCGTATCCCGCCCCGATGATTCCTTTGGCACATCCCCAGCGCTTTCTCCATGTCGATGCGCAATTACTGGTGGCAGTCCACGACATCCGCACGTGTGTGCTGTGGCCGACAGATCCATGGCCGTCCCTTGAGGCCGCCATGGCGTTGTTAACGCCAACGCAACGCGGTCGGCACTCGAACGAGGTAACCATTGCTTCGCGACGACTCGAATGCGTCCCTGAAAAATCCTGCACTGAAGTATTCTCCCAGAACGCACCACAACTGTGTTGTGGCATGGCCAGCGTGTCATCGACCGTCCTGCCACGATGGATGATCGCCCAACGGTACCCAGCTATGTCTGACGATAGCGAGAGAAGAGATTTCAACGTTGTGGTGTACCTAACGCATCAAGCGGTGTATTTGGGGTTGGCTTACCATCGACACGGCGACGATCTGCCGAAGCCTGCCGATGCGGACCTGCCACCTGTCGTTGAAATTGCTCCGAGCGACGATCGGTGGGAGCATCCTTGGAAGATATGGCTTTGAACCAACAAAAACGTAGGAAACTCATGATGGACGCTATGCATCCGTCGAGGAAGGATGAGCCAGATACTGTTCACAAACGATATGCTTTGCCAGATCCATTGCCAACGCCGCGCGACGTACCACGGGAAGATCCTCTCGTGTGGACCAAACAAGCCTATCGACACGTACGCCATGTACCGCTCGTTTTGATCAGAGACTGTTATTCTAGCGCGTGGAGCACCTTCACACTCGAGTCGATGCTATGGGCCAAACAATTCGCAGCCTTCGACACTCGTTCCACTTGTTCACGGAAGACGTCAATGCACACATGGCTAACTTGACGGTGGCGTTGCAACAAGTTTTGGCTCGCTGCGACAATGATACAGTCGGTTCACATACACCATGAAGACGCGTCCCTGCGCTGCGACCGCCACGGACATGACTGATGTCGCAATTCTTGATCTTGGAGATCAAGAATTGCAGCTCTCCAAGATCTCAAGTAAATGAAGCGCATTTATTAATGATGTATTTATTTATGCGTATACTGTGAGTATCCGGACAGTTCAAGATGGCGCGGAAGTCCACGTCGATGAAGCGACCTCGCGCCGCCGCGCCGCCGACGATGCATCGCCGTCATGTTCACGGTCCGTCTGGACGAGAGTACATCATTTTGGATGACTTGGGTGACGAACTGAGTGTTACACCGTCAATGGTAAGTCTCGTCGCGATGCGGTTATCTCCAAGACGCAGAACATGTCAATCGTAGTGGGCCGCGATCGAGTCCTACGAGGACAACCAGATGCGAGCAGACAAAGCGATGCCATCAACACCACACGTCATTGAGTCGCAATCGGCTTTACTTTGCTTCGACATATGCCCCGACAGTGCCGACGAGGGGTGTGATGACGATGACGGTGACACATCGAGCAAAGGGCACTACTTGTCGGAGAGAATGCAGATGCTGCAGCCATCGTCAGCGCGCGAGGAAGCGTCAAAATTCCCCTCCTCTACTGACTCTCTCTCGGTGTCTCACACACGAACGCTATCATCAGGTGCCTCACAAGGACGAGCTATTGAGGTCGAATTTGCGTCAGAAGGCGAAGCGTGTCTGACCACGATGAAGGAAACGGATGGACGATCCCTCGAACCCATCACTCCCCTTGCATCGCAATCGAATGAATGCATCCCTTTGGCATCACCTCCATCGCAGTGCCCTGTGGATGACTTGACCAGAGCCTCCATTACCATCGACACATCCACCGAAAGAATTCCCCCCTGTACACCAGCAGAAGCACTCGCGACTAAGGTGGAAATCCCTCATGTTCATGGCACTCCACCTGCATGCCATGCAGGTATCGCATTGGCCTTACCATGTTCGTCGTCGAACGACATCGCGGACCCGCCGCCGCAAATGCCATCCTCGAGTCCACCTCAACTCGACCAGACGCAGACCGCCATTCGTTCGAATTCAACGCAGTCTTCCCTCCATGCCTTGTATCCGCCACCGCAGACAACTCAGCTTCTGGTCCCGATTTCCGACCCCATCCCTGCTCCAACACCTAGCGAGCCAGCCCCGACCGAAGAGCTCGATGCTGTGCAAGTCCTCGTGGCCATAAACGACAAATGCCCGTCGCTTGCAGCATGGCTGCGCCACGAAGGCGACGTCGAGCACGATGACAGCATGGCGTCGATGTTTGATGATCATGCATCCGTAACAACGACGCCACCGCAGTCCCCACCATCCTGTCTTGCTCCCGACGCCAATTTCACCAAAGTGCCGTTGCAGCCTCCGCACGTACATTCACCATTTCCGTCGTTTGAACTCGAGAACTGGCCGCCGCACCTGCGTCGGCGATGCCGCATGACGCCTCCGTCGCCGTCGACCCGCCTTTCACCTGACACCCCGCACGAGTCCATTGTACTGTGGGTCCGACATACCTGGCGTGTGCATGACAACTTCGCGCTTGCGGCGGCGGAGTGGCTCCAAGCAGCGTACGACCGTCCGGTCGTTGCCTTTTGCGTCCTGTCACCGACGCTGTTTTACCCTGGCATGCCTATCGAGTCGACGACGAACGAGAACGGTGTCCGGAGTTCCATCGCGTCGATGCGGCGACAGCTCCTGGCTCGTCATATTCCTCTGTATGGAATGTTGGGGCCGCATGTACGTCCCTTTGTGCATATGCAGCCACATCGCGTGGAGCGAATCAAGTCGACCAAGCGCTAACACATCTCCAGGACAACACCGAGGTAAACATTGAAAGCCAACTGCGCTCGCTCCATCCGTGGGCCGTCGTGACGGACGATGGGGTTGACGAGCCGTTCGAGTCCTGGCATCTTCCAGTCCCGGTGATTCAGGTGCACAGGAGAATCAAATGCAAGACGAGCGATGCGACCGTGGGCGGTCTCGTAGATGGACAGCACGTGTTGTGTCCCGTGGCGCTCGTTCCTTTCAGACGGCGGTGGTGAGCTCGCCAAGGACGCGTTTGAATCGCGGTGGCTGACAGCGTGGAACCGTGCCATGGACGACGGAGTCGATACCTTCTTGCTACCGTTGCACGTCGAGAGCCCCTCGCATCGAGGCCGCGCACACACTGCCATGCAGAACAACCTTCCGTGGCCAAACCTGGACAAGCCGAGCGCGTTTGACTTGAGGTATAAGCGGCATACGTCCACTACCGATGCCATGAAGTGCGCGATTCTCATTCCAATCCGTGCATGTCTAGTGAACAAGCGGCTTTAGCGCACGTGGACGCGACGTGTGTTCAAGGAGGCGCGACAAAGAAGCCGGCGCTGCAGGAGGAATTGCACGTACGGTGACGTTATCTGTGTCAGCACGTCCTAGATGACGGTGTCCTGTAGGGCCGAGGCGTGACCTCATGCCTCCCGTTTCTACGGCATGGATCGCTCTCCGCCATCCATCTCCTACGCACTCTGAAATCGACATCGAACCATGTACGGAACGGTCAAAATTCCCCGAGCTTGCACGTTTGGATGTTCACGTTTTTTTGCCCGTCTCATTCCATGATGTAGGTGCTGCATTCAAGGGCACTCACACACTGCGCGCTCGCTCGAGAGTATGCCATGCACGTCATGTACCACCAGATCAACGCCACACGGTCACGGCCAACGCTCACCAGCCACACGTTGATCTGGAATGCATCCTATTTTGCCCGGCAACTGTACGCCATCCATTTTCCCCACCTGACTCGATGACTTGACCCCAGGCGTGTGTGCAGATCGGTGTATCGAACGCTCGTGGATCGCATCTCGCCGCCGTTGTCAGCTTCCACTCGAGGTTCGTGCTGGCTAGCATGCCCATGCACCGTCTTACGGTGTGCGCGCAGGATGTAGCAGCGACGACAGGTCGACAGGAACGGACGAGCGCTATTTATTGCCCCACCAACTCGAAGCTAGTCGGAGTCCCGACCCGGTTTGGAACGACATCATGGCACACGTTCGCCTGACGGGATATTTGCACCCGGTGCTGGCATCGTATTGGGGTCGCCGGCTTTTGTTTCATTGGAGTCCGTCGCCACTGGCGGGCCTCGGCGTGAGTCCTCGTGCAGTTGTGCCTCTCCTCACCGCCGTTTTGTTACAGATGCTTGAGGGGTTGGTGGTGCGCTACTCGATTGGCGTCACCCCGGACGTGGTTGTGCAAGTTCTTCTAGCGATGCTCCATGACGGCACGACCGCCGACAAGTTGTCGGAGCAGACGGCGGAGGACCATCCGCTATTGACTCAACTTCGCGCTGTCGTTCGTGCACCTGCCCACCACTCGTCCAACGGGTTACAGCTCTAGCCGCCGTGCATCCTTGGCCTTCCACCGATCAAGCGCCATCCTTTTAAGTTGTACATGTGAAGCACCTGGTGGCACAAAGACTCTTTCATGCATCCCGCCTACTCGCACCAACAATGCAGGCGGCGGTGTCAGCGATGCTGCATCGAAGTGCCAAGAGCTTGACACACAAGTGATCCACTGACGGTGTGGCTCGATCGCAGAACTCGCTGTTCAACGCTGCATCCAGGTGTCCTTCATGGTCGGGTGGCTTCAACTTGTATCCCTGGTCGCAACGGGCCTACCACAGACAACTACCTACATGATGTTATGCCACTCATCGCAACGACGACCCGTGGCAAGCCAGCCTATGCAGCGCCTTGACATGGCATCGCACGTCAGCTGCACGATTCCACGGACCACGACGGGCTAATTATAGCCCCGACCTCGACCTCGACAGGAGCAGATCTGGCGCGGCACGATATGTTGTCTCTGAACTCGTACGGGTTGTCCAGGACGTCGAACCAGCACTTGACGCTCCCTCGTCTCGCGCAAAGCCCCATCCGCGAGACCAACACCATGTCGGTCGGAAAACTCGCCCAGGAACGGCGCGACATGCATCCGTGGTACCGCACCACGTCCGGGTACAGCCATGGAGGCAGGTTGTTGCTTCCTGACGTGCGTTGTAGGTTCGACTACGGCCGACACGTCGACTTCCAAGACGTCGGGCTCAAGCTGAGTCCGGTGAGCCCGCACGCCAAGCACATGGACTTTACCGAGGGATTCCTCCATGGGCCATACACGGATTCGAGTCTTGGCTCTCTCGACATGAAGTACGTTCGTTGCTTAGCGCGGCCAACCAGTTGGGCTGAAACGACGCGACTAGGAAGAAGCGCCTCATCCTCAGCGACAAGCTGCGCGCTGAGCATAAAATTCGCATGCAGGCCAAATTTGACGAGAAGCAACAGGTACGAGTGCTCGCCCGTCCGCCCGCTTTCGAATCGCAGTCATGTTTGTGGCAGCAACTCAACTTTAAGCGGGAGATCCGGCGGGAGCTGCGGGACAAGCGGCGGCTCGAACGGGCTGAGCATACCCATGCCAGCACGGTGATTCAACGACACGTCCGTGGGATGCTCGTGCGGTTGCACATGGCGGCAGCCCGCAGCCAACTTGCGAACGAGAGTGCGGCGCGTATTCAGGTACTGCTCGTCCCAACAATCGCAGCGATGGCCGTCGATCCTGACCACCGGCTTCGCGCCAGGCATTTTATCGATCGCAAATGCGCGTGTATCGAGCCAAGCAAGCCTTGCAACGCATCAAGGTAGATGGCCTCGACATGTGTCCAGTTCACGGCACGGACGACTAGGACGACCTTGCGGCCGACGCGGCGCGCGTGATCCAACATAAAGTCCGCAACCACTTGGCCAAACTGCATGCACGCGCCGAGCTTGAGCGACGACGACAGCAGCGTGCCCATCGCCGACAACAAATCCAGCAGGAAATGATGGACAGAAGGCGTCGAGCCGCCGTGGTCATCCAGCGCATGTCGCGCGGATTCCTGGTTCGACAACGCATGAAGCGGCGGCGCCTTGTCGCCGACTCGGCCGTGGGGGCTCCGATCCTAGTCGGGTCAAAACGAAGACAGCCTATAGCCTCGACGGCGCAAACAGCAGCATGGACAGGCCCCAAGCAGCAGCCATCCAAGCAGGCCGCCCCGTCTCCATCCAGTACGAAAACTTTGGCTTTCCTCGCGTGAGGTTCCTTTCAGCCCGTTGTAACATGCAACTTTAGAGCCAACGGGCAAGAAGAAAGCGTCGGCGGCGCCGGCGCTGCGTCGATTTTCGTCCACAGACATGGCGCTTAACGACACATAAGCACGACCTGCTCATTTGCGGGCTTTCGCCAGCTTCTGGGTGTAGGCAGCCACGTACTAGACGAGAAGAAGCGTTGGGGCAAAACGGATATCTGTAGGATACCTTCGGCAGCTTCTTCTCATACGATGCCTTGGCCTTGCCAGTGAGGTCGCGCACGTCGATCGGCGTGTACGTGCTAGGACGAGATGTCACGATGAAGGGCAATCGAGAGAAGAGGCGTCCAGCCCACCGGCCAAACACGGCTTTTTGGCATTGCACCACCAAGTCGGCCTGAAAACACTCCTCGGCGGTCGCGGCGCTCCGAATGGGCGGGCTGTTGTCGAGAAAGACTAGATGATGACAACACGTCGAGGATCCAGTCGCAAAGACGTTTGCGAGTTGACACACCTGACGTGATGGCATCTTGGAACGCCCGCACGTGGCTGTCAAACCCATTGGCGTGTGCCTCTGCCGCCATTTTCAGGTCGATGCACTGCTGCTCCATGTCGCCGTCGCGAGTGCCCGCGAACACTGCTCAATTCCATGAGGGCGACAAATCGGCGCCGTCGTGTGCGCACTGAGCCCGTTGTGCTGTACGTACAGGCAGTCAAGGCCGATTCGAATTCGACCACGAATGGGGCAAAGATGTTTTCGGCAATGGAGGGAGGGCCGGGAGGGACACCTCGACGGGGACTCGTTGGGGCGGATCGACGACCAGTCATCGGGGGGGCAGACGATGGAGCCTCAAGAGGCTCATGGGCGGGGGAGTTGACTCTTGGCGACAATTCCGACGACTACGTGCATAATGAGCACACCGACGACGTTGCATTCGATGCTTCGTCATGACGTACCGGGGCAGTGAGATAGTCCGTAGAGACCGTCTCAATGTCCAAGTCGTGGCAAAGACTCGTCGCTGCGTATTTGGTGATCCAGTCTTGAAGCTGCCACACTTGCACGGTCGCGCTCTGTGGGGCGAAACGTGAGCCATCCAACGCAACGTTTGCTACGCACCAGCGACGTAATGGTCGATACAAGACTGGCAAAGGTTGTGCAGAAAGTCCACTGCGGTCTAGACATGGCATTCCAGCATGTCAGAGCGTTGGATGGCCAGTGGACGATGAAATACGCACTGGAGGATGGTCAAGAAGGCCGCGCACAGCTCTGGCAGCAGCCGGCCATGACCCACAAGAAAGAGTTGGTCCCAGATGAAGAGCAGCGTGTCGGGGGTCGTGACGCCGACAAAGACGCGGTCGGCGTGAGGCTGGAGCATCTCCGTCCACGATGCCAGGGGCGGGGACTACTCAAAGCACCTTGTCATGGCATTGTCTTTGTGGCACGCCAATCTGGATGTGGCGGCATACAACGACGACTGGCCGCACCTACCTCGGGTGGAAAGAGGGCTGTGAGCGCAGCGACGAACGAGGCGTCGATAGAGTTGAGCCGATGGACGACGGTCGACGTGAAAGCGTCATCCAGGACCACCGGGCGTGCAAGGGCGAGCAGCACAGAATACGCCTCGACCAAACTGCTGGCGTCTGTGACGCGCCAAACCAACAACAACGGGAGGATCAAAGCGTAGTACGCATCCCCCATCGTGTCGAGCGCGTCCGGCGTGATTGTGTGGATGTAAGAGAGCGCTGTCTTCATGGCCATCACGGTGTTTTGCGACTGCAACGGAACGAAGCTGGGGAAGGTGTCGAGGACCGTCTACGACACGCCTGCATGAGTCGATGAAGTCGTGGGGGTTGCATGGGCCACGCACTTGACACTTGAGTGTGAGTTGTGCATCGAGTACCGAGATCGTACTGATTCGGTTGACGGCGCACTTGGATTCGTACTTGAATCGAGCGGTCGGATCGCTCAAGAAGAGTTTCCACGCCTGCACCATCCAGCATCGTGGGGGAACGGACAGTTGAGATGTGTACATGCGTTGGATTTGATTCGCACCTCCGGTCGGAACGATGGCGGAAATGGCTGGTTGAATAGCAGACGCAGCATGCTACGGTGCTCTACAGGAAGGTCCTGGACGAGTGCACTGGCGGCTTTCGCGGCGGACTCCATGGCCAGACCTTGCTACATGCAATCGTTCCATGATCATACAAGCCAAAAAAACGCTACAAACTTTTGTGAGCGTATTGCCGGGCCGCACAAACGCTGTGTCCACATCTTTCGTTAAGTGCTAGAGGTTTGTCGCATCACGAGGAAGAGGACGACGTGGGGGGGTGGGTGTAGCAATCGTACTGCATCCATCGTGTGCGTTAGCCGCTTGACAAAAGCGCCGTATGCTTGATGCTGCAAGAGCTCGATTTCCACTTGCGCCATTACGAGCGCGCGCTCATCGACGGAGAGGTCCGCGAATTGCTGCTCGACAACCTGTCAATGCAACGGTGCCGACCTCCCGACATAGTACCTTTGTCTTGCAGCTCTTCAGCCTCTCTTGCACACGATCGTAGATGACGCTCGTCAGAGCGTTCCATTCATCGGTAGATGTAAGCTCCGCTCGCGTCGCATCGATCCAAGTCCCCGCGGAGCCGTCACGCGTTGGGGGCATTTCAGTACCTGCGCGAAATCCCGTCATTTGATTCGTTCAAAATGGACCAATCCGGATCCGCGACCTTTCGAAAGTATGTGGACAAGCGGAACGTCCGGCTGGACACCGGGACGGCACATTATTGTTGCAGTCGCCGACAACGCCAGGGTGCAGCCGTCAACGCCCGTCGCTGCAAAGCAAACGGGCAATTGCTTTCCACCATGGTGCCATTCGTAAGGATCCATGCGGTCGGAGGCATGGAATGTCAAGGGGCTCACCGTGCCGCATGTTTTGACGGGAGGCGGTAGGGACTTCGTCGCTGGCCCAGCACGATACGTCCCCAGTCAACACCAAGCACAGAGTCTTGGTTCACCCGAGCATGCACGATTTGATGCCAAAACAGACGTTCCTCTTCTCCGTTAACAAAGTCAAGGTCCAGCGGGAATGCCTTCGTCCAAACATGCCTTGAAGGTTGTTGGCAGGATGAAGGTGCGATTCAAACAAATCGTGCCATGGCTCGAACGACCATAATCCGCAGCTTCCGTGGGGACACACAACTTGGCTTGACAATCAAGTTACACATTCGTGGCACTCTCTTCTACAAAAGCGTCCTCGATGCTCCACAGCAGCGACGATCGGTGACCGTGCGACGCACTGTGCCATCATGCGTCAGGCACATAAAAACCAGAATGCAAACGTCACGAGGATATCAAGGCACTTGCGTCTTTGCGCTTCGACTCGACGTCTTGACGAGCGGGTTTGGCTGCGACGCGGCTCATCGAGAGGCCGTACGTAGTGGACCACCGAATGCAGCACACAACATCATGACGAGGAGTTGGATCAAGCGCCATAAAGTCTGCACATTCCCATGTCCATGCACGCTCCATACAACCCCCGCCAAACAACAAGTCTGGCTCCCGGCGCATGATGGCACGGCGGAAACGCTCGAAGTTTATTCGGACACGGTAAAACCTCTGTAAATTAATACCCTACCTCCTTCTACTCATGTTCATTTGAACGCAGCATCGCACACGGCCTTGATCAAGGCGTCGTCGGTGTGCTGGGGCAGCGTGACCTTGAGGAGCGGGTCGGCTTCCATTTCGCGCTCCATGGCGAAGACCGCGTTGTCGTTGCGGCCCCAAGCACGACGCGCTACGCCGTTGTTCACGTCCCAACTCAACATGTTGGCGGCTTTGCGTTCAGCGGCCTTGGACCCGTCAAGCACCATGCCGAATCCTCCGTTGGTGACTTCTCCCCAGCCGACACCGCCGCCGTTATGAATGGACACCCACGTCGCTCCTCGGAACGCGTCACCGATCACGTTCTGGATTGCCATGTCCGCCGTGAACATGGAACCGTCCGCGACGTTGGACGTTTCGCGGAACGGACTGTCGGTCCCGCTGACGTCGTGGTGGTCGCGGCTGAGCACAACGGGGCCGGTCAATTCACCGCTCGTGATCGCTTGGTTGAAAGCGACGGCGATGCTTTGACGGGCAAAGCGATCGGCGTACAGAATGCGCGCTTGCGTGCCCACGACCATCTTGTTCTCTTCGGCGGCTTCAATCCACTTGATGTTGTCACGCAACTGGGCCGCGACGCGCGGTGGGGCGTTGACGAGGTATGCCTTCAAAATGCGGGCGGCGATGCGGTCTGTCGTGCGGAGATCGTCCGGGCTGCCAGAGGCGCACACCCATCGGAACGGGCCAAACCCCAGAGAGAAGATATCGCCCATAATGTCTTGGACGTACGACGGGTACTTGAACCCATCTTCGTGGTTGGACGGCGTTTTGTAGATATCGGCGCCGGCGCGGCTGGCTTCAAGCAGGAACGAGTTCCCGTAGTCCCAAAAGAACATGCCGGCAGCCGTGAGACGGTTGATGGCATTCACGTGGCGCAGCAGACTAGACTGGACGAGCTTCTTGAACGCAGGGGGGTCGGACGCCATGAGGACGAGCGATTCCTCGAACGAGATTTCGGCGGGGTAGTACCCGCCGTTGAACGGGTTGTGGAGCGACGTTTGGTCCGACCCGAGCTCGACGAGGAGCTCGCCCTTGTCGGCGGCGTCGGCCAACGCTTCCCACAAGTCCACAATGTTGCCGTGGTACGCAATGGACACGACGCGTTGGTCCTTGCGCGCGGCGCGGATCATGCTCAAGCACTGCGGCAACGTCGACGCGATCTCGTTCACCCAACCTTGAGCGTAGCGCTTTTCAATTGCAGAGTAGTCGACTTCGGCCGTCACCGAGATCATGCCGGCAATAACCCCGGCTTTGGGCTGGGCACCACTCATGCCGCCGAGGCCAGACGACACGTACACTACACCCTTCATGTCTTCGCGGTGGAGATACTTGCGGCACGCGTTCATGACGGTGATGGTCGTGCCGTGAACGATCCCTTGAGGCCCGATGTAGCAGTAGCTGCCGGCCGTCATTTGGCCATACTGGGTGTTGCCCAGCGCATACAGCTTGTCGTACATTTCGCGAGTCGAGTAGTTGGGGATCATCATGCCGTTGGTCACGATCACACGCGGCGCGTCCGGCGAGCTAGGAAAGAGACCCAACGGGTGGCCGGAGTAGAGTACGAGCGTTTGGTCCTCGGTCATTTGGCTCAAGTATTGCATGACCAACAAGTACTGCGCCCAGTTGCTAAAGACGCTGCCGTTTCCACCGTATGTGATCAAATGCGCGGGAAATTGCGCGATCGCTTTGTCCAAGTTGTTCATGATCATCATCATGATCGCGTTCGCCGCTGTGATTTTGCCCGGGTACGCCTCCACGGGGTACCCCTTCATTTCGTACGCTGTGGGACGGAAGCGATGCATGTAAATGTGTCCTTCGTCCTTGAGTTCGGCAGCGAATTCGGGCGCCAGCGTCGCATGCCATTCCTTAGGGAAGTACCTCAGCGCGTTCTTGATTGCCAATTGGTACTCACGTTCGGTGAGGATAGGCGAGCGGGTGGGCGCTTGCGGCACAGTCAAGTTCTTGCCCGGATGCGGAGGCAACGTCTTGCCGAGCCCTTGAGTCAGCACTTGAAGGATCGCAGCAGCGTTTGCGGTCGTCGTCGCCATCTTGATAATTCGAAAATGAGAAGCGCCGAGACAATTCAAGAGCTCTTGATTTTCCGGATACGTGACCCAACCATCGCCATGATATCATGTTTTAGCACATTTCCACGACGACTGTTTATACGATGTTTTATTATGCCTTGCAGAACGAACTAGGGTCGTTCAATATTGAATCCTCCAAATCGTCCCAGGAGATGCTCACTGTGCCACAGCCGCCGTGAAATTTGTAAACAAGATGAATCCGGATAAACCCATTGAACTTCAAACACTTGAAGTGGTCGTTGAAGATGGTCCAACTCGTGGATGGACCCGCACACATCCCCGCCGACGGGCGTCGAAGGCGAACGGCAGCGAAGATCTCAACGATCTCATCATGTTCACGATCATGTGTGTGTCATGGAGGGGCCACAGACGCAGACCGATCAACTCGCCTCGCACCATGCACCGGAGGACAGGCAGTCCACTACATCGTCACACCATGGGACCAATGATGTGGACCAGATGGAGGTCATGTGCACCCGATATAGCGTGCTCGATGATTTTCACATGACGCGGAGTACGCTGCGCGATGGAAATCCATCCCATTGCGACCCTTACGTTGACTGAGATTTCTGTTTTCCAGGAGAGGTTCGTCACGGTGGTGCGATGGGTGTCCTGTGCACCACGTGGGAAGGTGGTTTCGTCATCTACTCGCGTTTGAAGACAGCAGCGGCACCCATGCCCGTCCCAATGCACATCGACACGACGCCGTACGTTTGGTTCGTGCGATGCAGTCCATGCAGCAACGTCGCGATTTGACGTGCCCCCGTGCACCCGAGCGGGTGGCCCAGCGCAATGGCTCCTCCTACGTGCATCGATGGGAGTCCAGAAAGGATGCCGAGTCGACGTACCGGTCGGGTTGACTTTGTGGCTTGGAATTTTAAGCGTCGTTTGGCAGTACAGCGCCTACACAATTGTGACACATGAGAAAAGTCAAAGTGCACGACCATGGCAACTTCCAAGTACAATTTTCATCCAAGGGCACTTGGCACACGCGATGCATTACCTGGCTCGCAAACGCTTCGTTCAGTTCAAACACGTCGATCTGGTCGATGGTCAAGCCGGCCTTCTTGAGCGCCGCCGGAATCGCGACCGCCGGACCTAGTACGCCGTCAGCGTCACTGGTCGACACGACGACTTCATTTTGCACGAACCAATGCCCATAATCTCAGGCGGGACACCGACCACCTACATCACCACCCAAGTTGCATCGTCAACTAGTCTGCAAGAATGAAGGTACAAAGCGCGGCTCGCCACCTACCGCATAGGACACGAACGAGCCGAGAATCGGGAGCTTCAGTTGCTCGGCCACACGGCGCGTCGTGACGAGGCACGCCGCGGCGCCGTCGCTCACTTGACTCGAATTGCCTGACGATCCCAATCGAGGCGTTATCCGATGGATGACCGAATTTGGAACTCTACCGGCAGTGGTCGTGCCATTCGGCTTAAACGAAGGCTTGAGCTTTGCTAGACCCTCGACGGTCGTGCCTGCTCGAACCCCTTCGTCTTTGGTGACAGTCACTTGCTCATCGCGGCCGTCAGCGGTCGAACAAGTCGTCGTCACCGGCGTGATCTCTCGGTCAAACCATCCATGTTGCTGGGCTGCATGGGCTTTCGCATGCGATTCGGCAGCAAAGGCATCCTATCCACCAACACTAGATGTGAAGAAATTGATCGAAAACGCAGTGCGACGCTGACATGCATGCGGCGCTCTGCAGTGAGATCGTAGAGATTTGATACCTGTTGGGAGCGAGTAATGCCATACTTTTCCGCGACGTTCTCCGACGTAATGCCCATGGGCACGGTACAGTTGCGAGCAGCTTCGTTGGCATGCACCTGCCTCCAAATACATTCAAGATGAACCTCCACGGCCACACGGATGCGGATGTGGAAGGTAGTTAACCTGTTCCCAACAAACGTCGGGCGCGCTCGCGCCCATATCTGTCAGCGACATGCACTCAACTCCTGCAGCAATCCCGACGTCATAAAAACCAGCTTGGATCGCACTGGCGACATTTGCGAACGCTTGGAGTCCTGAAGAGCATTGCCTGCCCAACATTTTGTAAGCCATCTCATGCAACGTCAAACGAGAGAGTCTACCGGTTCACAGTACTGAGCGGTACAGAGAAGGGAATGCCCGCACATAATTGACCCATGCGAGCCCCTCCTGCCGCCGACCCTTGCTGCAGCACGTTCCCTGTGTGCAGCACCATGGGCATAATAATACGGGAGCGGACGAGGCGTCATACCAACAACGACGTCTCCAATCATGGTTGGGTCGATCTTCGTCTGCGCAAGCAAGCCTTCGAACACCTACACGCCATTGCGGATACAAGTGAGAACGAAAGTCCCCAGCGCGTTGGTGGATTCGTGAAGTACGTGTCGAAGGAGAACGTCTGGCGTCGTATCCTTGAACGATCCGCGCTTTCCCTTAGCGATTGGCGTGCGAGTTGCAGCCACGATGACGATTTCAGTCGGCATGCCCGTGGTGGCCGCATGCAGTTGCTGCTGGATGCGCTCGATTCGTTGCATCGGATGCTTTGCTGTCTGTCTTGTGTCGGAATGAGCTATGTAAACAACGATCAAATTATCCGGAGGGTAAATTTATCCGTATGCTCTCTATTGTCACTCTCAAGTACTTTACTCCTGTGCCGTCGTTGCAAACAATATCGTGGTCTAATTCAATAAACTAGAGAGTATGAAAATCGCATGGAATTACTCACGTATAATATCTTTTATATATAATGGCTGCGCTCTCGCTTTGGCTCCCTTCTCGGAGAGTCAATTTAAAAGTGGGACGGCGGTCCAGTTGCATGAATCGTTGGCGGCAACTACATCACGATGGACCCCCAAGTGTATGAGCAAGTTCTTCTCGCCGTGGACGTGTGCCATGCAGGGTCCAGCGCACAAAGCGACCGAAATGCTGCGTACATGTACTGCGAGACCTTCCAAGAACGTCTCGATTGCATTCAGTACGCGTTCTACCTGCTTCAGGACCCTTCTCGGCCTTTCCACCACCGCCATTTTGCGTTGCACGTGGTGGAGACGTGGGTTCGAAAGCATTGGAAAGCATGCTCTGGCACAGATGATGCAGTCAACTACCGTGCCAACGTCCTGACGATCATGGCGTCGCATCTCAATGCAGACGAGCCGACATTTCTCAAAGAGAAACTGGTAAAGGTCGTGTCGGACATTGCCAAGCGATCATTTCCACAGCGCTGGCCCGACATGCTCGACCACTTGATGCAAATTTGGTCCGTGGGTCCTCTCCAGACGGAGCTCGTGATGCTCATCTTTCGGTCGATCGCTGAGGACTGCGTGAGCTCCACGTTCAACTCGACGATTCCTCCTACACGCCGCAAGGATCTGCTGCAAGGACTGAACGCGTCCTTCCCAGCGCTTTTCCCATGTGTGTACCGCGAACTCGAGGCCCAGTACACTCGTTTGCACCAACAGGGTGCGCATGCTGCTGCAGTCATGTTGGCAGGGCTCCAAATGATGAAAGAATTTCTCGACTGGATGCCGGTGACGACGCCCGCCGCTCCAGATGCCAATTTCATTTCGGTGGCAGGACTCCTTTTGCATCCAAACCTGGACACACCACAACTCCTGTCGTTGCAGATTGCTGCCGCCGAGTGTCTTGAAGAGTACTTCTCGCGTTCGTTTGGAAAAGAGAACATGGCACTGCTCCATCAAGCCAGTCTCACTTGCTGGTCGCACATGGCTGCAATGTCTCTGTCCGGCCCCGTGGACGACAACGACACCCTCCTTCTACACACACACATCAACCGCATCCTCGTGAGCTGGGGTTCCCACCAACTCGACGAATTCCTTGCCGATGACACAAGTCTGCCCACCCAGTTCACGGTGCTCCAGAATTACCTCGGCTTACTCCAGACCCTGTTTAGACACCCCAGCATGCTCATCACGGAGTCCCAAGTGATTGTGTGGCTGAATGTACTCAAGCACCAGTCGTTCAAGAAAGTCGCGCAGTTTGTCGACCTCAACTTGCTCTGGACGACATGTTTAGACAAGTACTTTAAGCTCAACTCGCCCGACCGCGACGACGCATCTCCCACGTCGCTGCTCGAATTCGACGATCACGATGCGTACAATGCGTTCTACGGGAACTTTCGAGGACGCCTCTACGGGATCCTCCGCCTCCTCGTCCAGAAAGAGCCCGCCGTCGCACTCACTCATCTCCATGATCGACTGCAGTACGTTCTAACTGCCCACGCCGCTGGCCGCGACCACCTCGACGACCTTGGCCACTGCACAGACGCAACGACTGCTCACCTCTACCACGAAGGTAAACATATCAACTCGTCCGTATTCTATCGACACATGCATGTGGTTGACGTGAAAGCTTGCTTTCGATCGAACAGCCTATGCAATTGTCCCTGCGTTGATGACCACTACGTTGTGATGGAATGATGGCCTCATGTCTGCCGGAGTTGCCTGGCTCGTTGTCGGTGGTTGAATGTGCTTGGCTTGAATTCGACGATGGCATGTTTGAATCTGTATGTAGTCGCTTTCACGGCGACGCAAACCCCCCCTCACACGTCGTGCTTCGTCCATGGCGTAGGCATGTCGTCGCTGTTGGACTGTCTCGTGAAATCTCTGCCCGACTCCGTGTACGAGACCCCTGCCCTTCTCCGCCACTTGGGGCAATCCGTGGAGTTGCTCCTGGCCTACCAAACGACGGACCCGTGGCTCCTGTTTCGCCACTGTCTATGCCTGTCATCATTTTCCAAGTACTACATGAAGCAGGTCGACCCGCCCATGTACCCTCGCGTTTTTGATCGTTTGTTTGGCTTGATTGTGTTTTGCGAACCGGGCGAGTCGATCCATGGCACGATGCGGCCTACGTCGACGAACGTGCGCCGGCGCGCGTTGGCATCGCTCATCTCGATATGCAATACTGGTCCGCTACACGTCCTGCCGTACCTCCCCGTCCTGTGCACGCAGGTGCTGGCGTTGTTTCCGCAAGTCCTCGATAGCGAAAGCGTCCTCATGTACGAGATGCTCGTGGTCGTGTCGAATTCGATGGCGACGTTCGACGAACGCCATGCGTTCATCCAGGAAATTACGGCCGCACCACTCGCGCAATGGACGTCGCCCGAGATGACAGCAGTCGCGTCGTCCGAGGATGCTCTCGTGAAAGCATTGGAGCAAAACGACGCGACGGTGATCTTTGGGCTATTGAAAGTGCTCACGACGTTGTATGGCATCGCCAAACGCATCACGTCGCTGGCATCGAACCAACCAACCGACAAGACAGCCCCACTCCACCACCCGTTTGCCTCGGTGTGGCCGGTCCTGCTGCCTAACTTGACCGCGCTCGTTCGTACTTTGCACGGCCTCTCGACGCCTCTGGCCCGTCAAACACTTGAACAGACCACGACCAGCGCGCGCGGGATCCTCTCCATGTCCCTTGAAGAAATCAACCAAGCGCTGCTCGGCAAAGAACAAGTCGACGTCGTGGACTCCGTCCTGATGAAGTACGCGCGGTGGGCGAAAAACACCCGCGACATTTGCTACCACCTCCTAGGGTGTGCCTTTGGCCATGCCAGTGTGTTCGCCACGATGGACGTGCCGTCGCTCATGCAATCGTCAGTCCTGACCAACCTCGTGTATTTGGAGCACCGCCACTGGAAAACGTTCTTGTCAAGTGTGTGGCTGCCGTTCGTCAAGTCGTGTCCACCAAGTTTGTACGAGTCGCTGCTGCAGCCGACGGTGTGGCACGTCCTATCGCACTTGGCCGACCGATTGCACACAGGGTACAGCAAAACGGCGGCGACGGACCCGTTGCTGCCGCGCTTCGCTGGCGTCAACATTCAAAGCACGACCATCGACACGGTGGCCCATGCTGTGTTTGTCGAGGTCGTGCGGTACACGGTCGATTTTATCGAAGCCATGATCGACGCCAAGACGGTCGTCGACGTGGAGTCTGCCCATCCCAAACACGTCGTCGTGGAAAGCGATCGCATTCTCCGCGAGTTCATTGTGTCTAGCGATGGCATCACGCGACAACTCGTGCAGGTCCTGGTTGGAATCCTCGGGTACTCGGACACGCTGAGTTGCCGACGGGCGACTGGGCTCCTCGACCGGCTTGTGTCGGTGCTGTTTGCACAACCACAGTACCACACGCTTTTTGGCAAGGACGTGTTCACGTCGGCATTGGTCGTGCTGCTCGCGCACTTCCACGATGTCGACGACGGGCTCAAGTGGGAGGTGATCAACTTGCTGCGCAACATTTACTGCCGTCTCACGCTAGGGTTGCTACCCGTGGAAGAGTGCAAGGGCTTCGACCCGCTTCATCAACCTGTCAAGCCTGACAGCGACCTCTGCTTTGCGCCCCGTGCGATCTTGGCAAGTTTACACGGAGTCCAGCCCCATGAAATCGCCGCGCTCGAAGCGTCGTTGCGATCGCACCACAGTGTCAAGACCCAAAAGAACTTTGTCAAAGAGTTTTTGGAAAGCCCTTTTCTCGCGTACGTTGACGCCCCGCACACGTTCAAGGCGATCGATGACTTGCCGGAAGCGTTGGCAAGTCATAGAAGACCGGCGCATCCGACCACCAGCGACGTGGATGTGTCGGGTCTGTTTGGTGCGCACCGCGAGTGACTCGATGGTTGGCGGTCGACAACAGCTCCGATCACGTGCATGCTTGTTTACTGGCCCGACCCCTGCACGAGCAAAGTGTGGATAGCTTGCGGTGGACAGGCCGCCGCTCAGTCCATTTTAGACACCCACAGCATGCATTAAGCTCAAGTAGACGCATCTTATTTATGTCGAGCAGCACGGATCGATATTGCCGGTCATCGAGTCAGCTTCCGTGTCTTTGAAGAGGTAGAACCCAATGCCGAGGCCGAGAATACAGGCAACAAAAAGCCCCGAGTCGTACACCATGGCAACGAGCATGATCAAGTACCCCGCGACGAGCGCCACCATGTACATCCCTGTCAACGCCACGGTGCACCACGTCGGGAGGGTGCAATGGAGCACGGACTGGACGCCGCCCGCCCCATGTTGCGATCGAATCAGCGACGTCATCGCTGACGTCGGGTACGCCGAGTCGACCACGGCACTGGACGTCGTTGTGATGCCATAGCGCCGGATGAAAGACTCTTCGACACCTTCACGGAACTCGCCAAACCATTCGAGGAAGATGCCGAGAAGAACAATGCCAGCAAAGCCCAGTGAGTACGACACGGACGATGACAGCACCCATGGCTGGAACCACAGCTTGACACACGTGCCGCCAACTGATGTCTGGAATCCATCAAACATGACGGAAGCATGATCGCAAAAGGCGCCGCTGTGTGTGTGGGCGGCGCCTTCGTAGTACGCTTCCTGAAGACACGCTGAGACTGAATACTACGAGAGTTGTGATGAAGTTCGCACCTGGTTCGCCAGGATGAGGTTCGCATGGGCTTCAGAGCATGCAAATATCTTTTGGTTGCCGCGGTTTCCCCACGGCAAGGCGTACTTCAGGTCGGTCATGCCGCAAACGGGGCATTCCATCGCTGCGTTCTTGTATGGCACGTCCTTTGCCGAGATGGCGACCGCACCCCGCAAGACCTTGCTCTACGCATTCGAGTCCTCAGTCAATACATTCCTTGTATAAAGGACTAGCAAGTTGCTACCGCGGGATTGCGCAGGGTATCGAGATGGCCTGCCATTTCACACGCATATATCGCTTGGTTGCCTCGGATCGTCTGATTGAGCGTCGGGATGACGTCCATATCGCAAAGCGGACATCGTGTCTCACGAAGGTCTTGCTGCGCCACCGTCGAGGTGAATAAGCATGAAAGAACGAGGACGATCGCCGCCAAGAGCCATCGCGAGGGACGTGAGGTGGCCATCATGGTCAATGGCGACGTTTTGTATTGTGCCAGGCGCTCAATCAGGTCTTCCGGATAAGAACGGGTTTCGAATAACATCCTTTTATTAAAAGGCATGTTCGACTGTACTAACCATAAGGCATTAAATTTCTGCGAGCTGCCAAACAGCGGTAAGAGCGGATTGCCCCCACGCCGTCGATGCCATCATCTCGCCTAACGAGTCCAAGCTCTCTCGCGCGGACTTGCCAGCTTTCGCTGTTGTTCCATAGATAGGTGAAGGAAGATCAAGTTGAAGGAAGCAGCGTGCGCCACATCAACCAACGGTGGATTTGGGCTGCCCGCACCCTGATGTCGGCTCCACGTTGCGCGATTATTAATCGATGCTTTCAACAATTGCGTCACATGACTTGATGGCTTCGACGTGTCAACCGGTGTTGTTGGGGACACCGTCAGTGATGCGACCATGGAGATGGCCTCCATGAAGACATCGATAACGTGGCTGAGCTCGGCTCGCTGGGGAAGGCTGGAAATGCTGGAGAGCACATCCAGCACGCTATCTGACTCGACTCAGATATGTAGCAGCACCAGCGAAAATGGCACAAGGAATTATTGACTTGTAGGGCGAGTCGCGTGACACGTTGAATTCTCGACACAATAATAATAGTATGCGACTTGAATGACAATGGTTCAAATCTTATTCCTCGACCTATATTAGCCAACGCTTGACAGCCACATTGAGTCACTCGAACGGTTCCTCGCATCTAATTGGCCATGAATTTGCGGCAGATGAACCTTCCGACAGGTACACTCCATCGAATTCGACATCGACCGTGTCCGTGTCAGGCAACCCAGCGCCTTCTTTCGACCCAGCTCGACGACGCCCATCCGCCTCATTGCTCTCTTTCTCACGCGGGCCCCATCTTTTCTTCAACGAAATGCTGCACCGCTCGTTCCTACTCGTGGCCACTGTCCTCGTGTGTATTCTACCATCGACAACCGTCGCCCATGGCGCGGCAGCCGGTGCTGTCGGCATTCACGACGACAAGCACTGCCCCATCTGCAACATGTTTGTCAAAGATGAAAACTTGACTTGGTTCACGGAACTCAAGAACGGTCAACGCATCTACACGTGCGGCATGACGAATGGCACGCAGTTTGCGCGCGGCAAGAACTCTTTCTCCCACCCGTCGCTTGTTGGCGCCACCTTGGTCTGTCCGTCATCCAGTGTTTCTCCATCGTCAAGGCTGACACCCCCCCCACGTTCATTGTAGGACTCCCTCATCGTTCGCGACGGCACTGGATGCAACAACACGTGTCCGGAATGCGACGACTCGGCGCTGCCTGTATTGGACCCCATCACCGGCACCAAGATCACGTCGGCCAAATTCACGTACGCTTGCCTAAAGAAAGGCCAAAAGATCTACTTTGAATCCGAAACGTCCAAGGCCACGTTTCTCGATGGCGCGTCCTCCAAAGCGGTACATCCCTCGCCCTCGTTGAACCTCCATTGACTTGTACTGCTGTTCAGTACTTTGGTGTGGCCGCGATGACTTGCAACAGTGCCTCGTGCCCCGACAGCTTCCAGGAAGTGCCTGTGATTTCTGTGACAACTCCCACGACGACCTCGTTGCGAACCAATGACGCCGACTCACGTGCCGACGGCGGCGTCAGCGAACCATTTTGCTCCGGCGCATCTGCCATGTTTTCCGGTTTCCAGTCCACGGTCCATGGCACGTGCGTGAAGCTCCTATTTCAACCTTGGGTGCTAAACAGTAAGCTCAAGTACGCTATTGGGATCGTCGGGGTCTTCTTGCTGCCCCTGCTCAACGAAGGGCTCGTCCATGCCCGCGAGCACCTTCGCCACATCTTTCGCAACCGTGCCAAGGCTTCGACCACCACGTAAGTTCAACCTGCAAAGTGCCGCGAACGAGTTGACTTCGGCAACGGGCGGTTCGCATCCACCCACCTTTCAATGCATTTCATGTCTCATGTGTGGTTGCGCTTGGCTAGCATCGCGACGAAGCGGCTTCACAAACTGACGTTGACAGCGCTCTACATGGCGCAGATGACACTGGCATACTTTGCCATGCTGGTCGTGATGACTTACGACTCGGGTCTGTTTGTGTCGCTGATTGTGGGCTTTGGTGTGGGCTATGCCTCGTTCAAGCATGGGAAGCACTCGGCCAATGTACTCCCCATCGACGACAATGTCTCGGCTAGCTCGTCCACGAACGAAGATGCCGCCATGGATGGTCCGGCGGCGCCGTGGCGATTTCAACGAATGGACGACCTCGTGGTATTGCATGTGCCCGGGATGAAATGCGCTGCCAACTGCGGATCCACCATCCACCGGGCGTTGGACGGCATCGTCGATCTCGTGCACGTGGACATGGTCGACAAGTGCGTGTATGTCGCGCCTTCGTCTTCCTCTCAGTGCAACGCGGCGGAACTGGTGAAAATCATCGACATGGCCGGGTTTGCCGCGACAGTCTTGCGAGCGCCAAAGGGCATGACAATTTAACTAACATCTACGACACGTCTTGGCGGCGAACCAAGTGACAAAGTGGAGGCTGCAGTGCAATATTGTAGTACTAGCTTCCGCACGCATTGGACGTCGCTCGATCTCGTGGTGTGACGTTCTGCCATCATAGCGAGTAAGATATGGCTGCCGTGATCCACTTGGTGTCAATTGCATGGGGCTGAGGAATCGTAATGTGCCAAGGCGGCAGATCGTGTCGAATGCCATGCTGGCAACGATAGCCGCTTCTTCCCTCGTCGATCGTGGCGGGCACAATACCAGACTTGGACGAGTAGCCAACGGCGGCAAATTTTTCGTCGTGGGACCTGCAACCGGACGCGAGAGTCGTCCGAGCCGAATCGCTCGTCGCACACAGCAGCTCGTTGTCGTGGCCGCCGTGGACTGCGCTGGATTGGCATGGACGACGACGTTGCAACAGCGTACTCCATCGAGACGATACGTGGAATGAAATGTGGGGATAGGAGCGACTACGAAATCCTGTTCACAGCATCTCCCCGCCACCAATCAATACAAGCGATTTCGCCCATTGTGCGCTTGACTTTGCCATTGTGGCCGTTGCGTCGCTCGCATGACGTCCTTGTGGACAAGTCTATTTGCCTTCGATCAACGACACAATTGCGTCGACGATCCTCCCATTGCAGCGTCACCAGGATCTTGGCACAGTGACGGATGCGTCCGAACGAACCCATGTGAAACGCAAACGATGCATGCTGTCGTCGGTGTCCCTGTACGTCGAACGTCAAGTCTTCGTGAAGGCCGCTCATGGAGTCGCTCCACATTGCTCTGGTTGTGCATCATGGCGTCAAAGTCGCACCACAAGCGCTGGTACCGAAATTAGGTTCCGTTTTCTCGTCTGGCTTCCATCACCGTGTTGTATTCGTCAAGTGCTCGTCCTCGGATTGATGCCGTCAAGTGGCGCTAGGTCCCGTCTACAATCTCTTCATCGATGGTGTAGTTTCGTACTGAAGTCGGTCCGGGTCGATCTTGCAAAAGCTGGTGGCCTTGTAGACGCCGATGAACTTCAGCGGAGGTGGAATGTCTCCACAGTCGCTGCCATGGCCAGATGCGGCATCTTTGCGCGCGACGATTTGAGATTAGAACCATCCGGATGGTCGTCATCATCATCCGGATGGGTAACCAATCAAATGGCGAGAATTATCCGGTCAAGCTCCCACTACCTCGGCACCTTCATTTTTTGCTTTCCATTCGCGCACCATGAGCGGCGAGTCCACCAAGACCGACTATTACAAGCTTCTCAATGTGGACACCCACGCTTCCATGGAGGACATCAAGCAAGCGTACCGGAAGCTCGCTCTGCTGCACCACCCCGATCGAAAGCTTGGACAGGTGCGTTGAATCTGGTTCAAATCCGCGGGACAATCTCGACTACGTGTGTATCCACAGACAACTGAAGAAGCATCAAACAGCTCGTACTTTCAAGATGTCAACGAAGCATACGACACCCTGAGCGACGTCGACGCACGAACAGCATATGACTTGAAGCACTACGGCATGTCAACGTTCTCGTCGAATTTGAATCCAACTATTACAGGGGCTGTCAAGGACAACGGGTACAAGCGACTGACGTCGGATGACGTCAACCGTCTCCTTGCCAATGCCAATTCCATGGAGCGCATGACGACAGCGCACTACCATCTCAACCGCTCGACCGTTGCACCGACCTCGATCGGTCGTCGTTCCGTGAACTTTGAAGAGCGTAAGGCATTCCGCAGCAAACGCACGCCGCTGCCTACGAAGAATGCCACTATGGCGTGGTTTGCCGTCCCTGCAGTCATGCTCGTCGTGTGGGGTGTAGGAATCAACTCAATGATGGCGAGTAGCTCCAAAGCACGACACAGCGCCAATTAATACAACTAAACCTCCACCTCACACACACCACAAAGACCAAAACAACATCCACGGAGATTTGAATCACGACATGAGTGTCTATAATGGACTCTCTAGCTTGGACAATAGCACTTAGTACTCTTCGCCGTACTCCATGTCTTCGCCGTCGCCTTCCTGCGTTTCCGCGCTGACTTCTTCGTAGTCCTTCTCAAGGGCTGCCAAGTCTTCGCGCGCT